AAAGGAAAGGAAAGGAAAGGAAAGGAAAGGAAAGGAAAGGAAAGGAAAGATGTTTCAGCTGTTGGTGAATCATTACTAAAGGACAACAGGATTATGATCACATATGGGAGTTGTTGCATCATAGAAACTCATCATGGAAGGTCACCACAATGGGTACCATGACAGGCCAGGCAGCCATGATGAACACAACAAACAACTGAGCTCACCATCACTGCTTTCCTCCCTCTGCTGTCTCTTTCTTCCAGGCAGAGGTCACTGCAGGAAGGAACGAAGGTCCTTTCTTTGACAGCCATGATCATGAGATCAGTTTGGCTCATGGAGGCTGGCAAGGGGTCTCTGTTGTGCAGACAGGGCAAATGCAACTGCAGCAAAAGGATGGGCACTACTTGGGGACCCTACCTCCTGCTCCACAGAAAACCTTTGGAGCAGGAGGTGGAGCACCACATCTATTCCACACTGTTGCCCTGTTCATGGGCAGGCAGATCACAAGCCCTGCCTGGAAGTAAGGTGCTCGGGCAGCTGTGGTGGTGCAGGTGGCCTGAATGCTTACTGCCAAGGCAAGAACTGCAAAGTGGGAGACGGGCCCAGCAGGCCCCCTGTGCCAAGAACATCTTCCCTTTCTTGACTCCAGCTTGACAGGAAGCTTCTACAGCAGCTGTCAGGTTGGGGAGCTCCCTTCTTCCTGAGGCAACTGGCTCACTTATGGGTTTGGGGCCTGGGCAAATCAGGTGATCTCTTCCCATCATTGAAGAAGCTGTTTCCTATACTTATATCTTTCATTATAATAAAGTGGTAACACCTTATAGTAAGGCTTTTTTCCCTTTGGTAGAGCCATTTTTTCAGAGTAAGGTAATCATTAAAAATGCATATCTGATACCAATATTTTCATATGACTATTGATGAAAATAGAAATAACATAAAAGAGTCCCTGAAAAAAATAAATTCTTATTTTCAGATAAAGTTGGACAAGGATGCTGTTAGACTGAAGATTCTTTTAGTTTATCATATCTCAATATTGTTGTACTTGCAGCAAATGGTTTTGCGTATTTCAAACTTTTGTATTTCTCTTATGCCACATGAAATATAAACTTACGCATGTTGTTGTTGTTGCTGCTGCTGTTAATTACATTTCTATACCGCCTGTAGTTGTTTTTGCTCAGCCGTACCCCCTCCTTCCGTTTAATGGGGATCACTTCCAAATAAGAGTACAGAGCTTTGCCACCTTAGTGTACCTTTTAGAATACACCGTTTAGTGTTTTTACTATTTTTACAACTAGTCTGATGAATTAGGATTGAATAGCTTGGGATGTATTTATAATATAGGCATCTGATGATGTTTTGTGTAAGATGATTGTACGTTTTTAATTAAGGAACATTTAATATGCCTGATTTCTTGTCTACTCAGAAATCTAGTGCTTTATATGCAATATGAAGACAAAATGAGCAGGTGCATCATATCACTGCTTTTGTTTGATCAGGTTTATAGCATCCCTTGTCCTTGTTTGATCATGTATATTTTCATCTTGCCCTTTAATCCCCCCATGCCCTAGTCTGTTGAAGAACATTATTCCTTGATTTTACTAATGGTTTCCATAACTTTTAGGGCAAGTTCTCTTATAATTGAAGAAGCCAACACCACAATACACCTGAAAGTATCCCGGAGCAATGGGATGAACACATCAGTGAGTGTGGAATGGGAAACCCTGTCTGATACCGCATTTGGGATAAGTAAGTCAACTCACAAATAGGTTTTTGAATCACACACTATAAATGGATCTAATAAAACAAGGAGAACTAAGTTGTTCCCTGTGGCTCTCAGAATTACTTCGTTGGTGTCACTGCTTCTGCACTTACCCCTAGTTGGGTTCAGCAACATGATAACTCAGCCTTGTTGTTGAACTGTAAGTTGTTGCAGAAGCTTCAGTTATTGTGTTATCTGGATCCAGCCAAGTTAATAAGCCATGGTGGAGAACCCACAGTTCACAACCTGGCACCATACCATGAATTCATGACTTGCTGATACAGTTTTGTTCACACGATATAACAAATGCTTCAACAAAAACTCTCATTCCATAGTCCCACGGGTCTACGAGTGTGGGTTATCAAGTGACATGAATCCAGTTACTGTTTTACCTGCTGTCATTTACCTGGACACATATTTTGACTTGTTTTTAACATGTGCCTCTGAGTTGAGACCTTTGCTTTCTTAATGAAGGTTTCTCTTCCTTTATTTTTATCAGCCCATCCAGTAACTTGTGTTCATTTTCTTCTTGGTTGCAGAAGGAAATTTACATGTTCTGTCCATCTTACAAAGTTTTGTGGAAGAATCAATATTTAGCTGGTGTTTCTTTATGGTTGGAGATTCTTTATATGGCTTAATGCTAAGAAGTCATCCAGCTGTAAATTCCTTAATATACCAGTGGCGAGGAGTTTTTGTTCCTGTTGGGGTAAACAATATTAAATATTTTTTAAATAATGAAAATTAATTAAGATTAATCTCAGCACTATTTCAAGATATAGTAAACTGCAACAATAATAGTGAGTTAGGGTACATTTCTGTGCATGTTTAGACAGAAAAAAGTCCTACAGTCTCCAGCATCTACTAGCTATCTATGCTAACTGGGAACTGTAGGAATTCTCTCTCTTATTAAGCGTACCATCATTCCTTTAGTGGCATACTTCATTCTGTAACTTCAGTTCAATTAAGGAGGACTTTTACCTAAAGTGAATGCAGAAGACAATAATGCTAGGGAAAGTTGAAGGCAGAGGCAGAAGAGGAAAACCAAATATGATTATTTCCCTAAAAGAAGCCACAACCTTGAGTTTACAAGAGCTGAGCAAGGGCTCTCAAGGGCAGGTGATTTTGGAAGCATTCATTCATAGGGCAACAATAAGTCAGAGGTGCTTTGATGGTACTTAACAACACCTTATCTAAAGAGAAACTCCTTTTGAATCCTGCCTTCATCTCAGTATTTAAGATACTTATTTTTAAAAAATAAATGTTTGGGTCAAAGAGCCATAGTTATTAACTGAGCAGACAAAGTCATTAATTCCATGTTTTTCTTCTTAGGAGTTCAATGTTGAGAATCCCCAGCACTGTATTGCATTTCAGATCAATGGCTCCTCCTACCTGGTAATTATTCATGGACAAACAAAACAAGGGAGACCTTCTAATAGTACTGTGTACTCCTTTACCCCTGGACTCCAGTTGCTGCAGGTACGGTTATGCACCATTAAAACTTCTTAGAAAGCTCATGTACTTACCTAGGTTTGGTAGAACATGCACACCTTCAGCATATCTTTTCCAATCATATGTATGATTCCTCTTCCAGGATTGTCTCCCAGAAGTATCAAAAGCATGGTGCATGTCAAGATCCAAATACTCTTTTGAATAATGGCATACGTTACCTTATGTTTCTATTATTTCCACAATATTCTTCCTCTTGTGTTGTTTCTCCAATTTAAATCAAAAAGGGCTAAGGAAAACTTCTTCCAGTGCTGTGATCCAGATCTAGGTCAAGGCCCCTCTGTGGCTGCCACAAATAAATAAGTTGGGAGATCAGATCTGATCTAGTGTGGTCCTAAGTAGAAGTTGAAGAAGATGGAAAACAGAGAATGCAAAGTAAAATTATGATGAACAAACTTGTTGCACAGCATAGTACAGCACTATTAATGTGCATGAAAACATTGATTTTTAACTGTGATTTTATATTTTCATGTGTTTAAATAAATTTATATTGAACAATATTATTACAGTTATATTCAATGCATTTCTTGAAGGAGTGTGTTAGCTGATTCTTTTTCATTTTCCTTTTCCTGCAGATACAGACCATCTTAGTGCCAACTGCCACTGATATAAAGTATTTCAGTTTGGAGGAAAACCACTACTTGGTCATTACCAGTTGTACACCAGAATCTAAATATCTTCAGGTTGGTGAATCTTTATTCTTCATATGTAATATGTGTTTGTCTTTTCAGAGCATTGACCTTAAATAATATACAGAACTTACAGTATGTGGCACTTTGAGTTGCTTAAGTAAATGAATACAAATACAAATAATGTGCTAATAAATTGTGCTCTGCGTGCATGGGTTCAAATTCCATCCTACACCACTCAGAGGGTCTCATGTGGGGCTATTGGGTATTGTATATAAATTTGATAAATAAATAAATTTAATTGGGTGTTTCAGGAGAACCTTTTATGGCATTCTCAAAATAAATTTGATTGAAATAATCCCTGTTATTGTTGAATTAACTTACAGCAGATGTCTGCTAGAAATATTGCCTAGTAATAAACCTGAATACTGAAAGTGTTGGTATGTTCCTAGTTGCCGTGGAAATTCCATCTCCTGTATGCTATCATACTTCCTTGGGACATGATTCTGCGTACATGCCTGCAAACTATTTCTCCAGGGTTAGGGGAAAAGCCCTTCTGAGTCACAGATGACCAGGGCAGGATAGAATTTAACTGAAGGTCTAGGAGGACCCTTCCCTACTGCACCCTGGTTCTGTTCTCTTGGATGCCATGCTACAAATAGTCCAGCGGAGAAACTGGCATAGCTGCCAAAATGCAAAGAAGTTCAATATAGGTAAATTTAGGAATGTGGCTTAGTAACAGAGTACCCTTGTAAGATACACTGGAGGGAGCAACAGACAAAAGAGCTGAACCTTTACATAAAGTGAGTTTTTACTGAGAAAGTAAAACTGAAAGCAATGTAAGAGCATATGTGGAAAGGGAAGGCTATTTCTAGGGTAAATCCAAAGTAGGGGTAGAAAAAGAGAATTTTCATACCCATGAGAAGGTTTCAGCTTGTGGAGATTATCTTCGGTGCAGCAAAAAGAAGCTAGGAGTTCAGAGCTAAGCTGTATTCATCCCAGCAAAATTTCTTCTGGAATTATGTAAGGTTAGGGGTTGAAAGGTGCAAGAAAGAGCACCAAGTCAGGAAGTCAGACTGAATCTCAGTAAGGCCTCTTTCCTGTCACACTGTTTGTGTGATCTTGCAGAGTCTTCCTCGAATCTAGGTTTCAACGTCTACACTCAGTTATATTCTTAGAGAACAAATAATATAAAATAACATTGAACAGTGGGAAGATAATAGCTTATCCTCCCTAATGAACAGTAGGCAGCAACTGGCCTCTCACCTAGAGTTTTAATAGTATGTCTTGAGAAATCATTGGAAAATACATTCAATATCCAAGTGAACACTGATGAAGTGTTACCCTGATTGAATTGTTAAATGGACAAGATTAAGCATCATCAATTCTGAAAGGTTGCAGGCTGGCCCAAGTGTTTATTGTGAGATACTCTGTGTGTATCTCCATAGAAACTGCATTTTATCTTAACTTGCTTGCAATGACCTGCTTAAATGAGACTTTGGAGCCAATATAGCAAAATGGAGGTGGGTTGAGACACTTTAGCTCCTAAATCCATCACTTCTGTCACATATGTGGAAAATTCTTGACTGTTGATGTAAATTCTTCTTCTTCTAATCCATGATGATTGTTGTATGTGAAGAGAGAAGTAGCAAAGCCCTACATTATGCCAGAAGTTTTGCTTTGCTCACTAGAAAGGCTGCTAAAGAAGCTACGTTCTATGGCAGATTGCATAATAAATGTTTTGGCTGGGGGCAACAAAAAACAATTTTTCAATTCAAGTTGTCTCAAGCTCTAATGATCAGCTTTCAGTGTTTTATTTGTTGTGAAAGTTCTGTAACACATTTTATAAGCTCATGAATTATTCCATTTATCAATCAGACCAGGGATTTTTAAATAGGATGTAGAAAAGGCATATCCTGCTTTTTCATATTTTAAAGAAACATCATATTTAGAATGTAATGACTTCTGGTTTCTTACAGCCTTAAGTACAATGAGAGCTTTCTCGTTTTCCACAGATTTTCCTCTGGAATAATGGCATCTTTGTATTCCATCATCAGCTCCCTGTGAATGGAGTTCTAAGCATGGATCTTTTCCCAAAGGGAAGGACTGAGTATCTAGTCATGGTTCCATCAGACTCTATGCAAACCCCTCTGTTATACGAGTGGTCAGAAAACAAATTTAGAAAGTTTCATGAAGTTCCAGTCAATGGAACCACTCAAGTCAAAGCCCTGATTTCTGGATCTGACATCTACTTAATTTTTGCCAAAGGTATTCATATGTTCAAGATCCATTTGGCAGAAATGCATTGCGATTCAGCTGTTACTATGGAAATAGAACTATGAAATGAGAATAGGAATTCATTAGCTACCTAGGACTGTTATGATGCAAATGTTACTATGGCATATTTTTCCTTTAAAAATAATCTTGCTCTTGCCACTACAAAATGCATCACTGATGTTGGAAGTAAAACATGCACTTTTTCAAAAAGCTGATACCTTACCATTGTTTTTAAATTGCTTTTGTTTTACTTTGTTCATCCTTGCCTGACCCACTGAAAGCCAGTGTGGTGTCAGAGTGCCAGAACAGGGCATGGGAGATCTGGGTTCTAGTTCCCACTTGGCCTTTATGTTCCCTGGATGACACTGTGCCAGGCACTGACTCTCAGCCTGACCTATCTTGCAGGGTTGTGGTGAGGATAAGCTGGAAAGAAGGAGAATCTTGTGAGCCACCTTGGGCTCCTGGCAAGAGGAAAAAAAATGGGATATGAATATCATGTAATGATAAATGTAATCTTGATCTTGAGTTTTAGAGGAAGACAGAGTATTAAAGGCAGCTAGTTACCAATATAAGGTGGTTTTAGTTACACCTGATACCTTTAATTCATAAGTAAAGGGAGCATTATGTAATGATGTGCTAGTCACCATGCATGCAATGGCTTATCCAACAAAAGTAGTTGTATATCAAGTTATATATGTTTTTGTTATTCACTCCACAGAACTCAATGGTACTTGTGAAGTTTTTGTTTGGGAAACAGGGCAATCTTCCTTCAGGCATTTTCAGTCCCTTCCCTTCAGAGCTGTAAATAGTATCCATGCCTTTTTTCCACTCTCTGGTTTAGGTAAGTTTGAAATAAACAAATATTTTAAAGAAACCCTGAGGGCTGATTCACACATGACGCTTTTCACCTCTCTGTTTATATCATATGATGTTCCATTTGTGCTTGTCATGTGTGATAAATGCAAATGTGCATTCAAATGTTTAGATGCTGCAGGACAGGTTGCAGCTGGCCATGGGTTTTCCATGGATGCACATACAGTGAAAGCAGACCATGTTTGACATCCAATATGTCTCTTCTTACTCCTGCATCAACATGGGAAAATAACAACAACAACCCTGCCATGTGTGAAGTGTTCCTTAGTAACTATGGGCACAGTTCATAGGTTATGCACACAATTACTCTTCCAAGCCCATTACACTTGTGCTGGCAGACAAATTGTGGGAAACCCCAGGGCTTTCTGGGAGCTGATGTCTACATTCATGGAATTGTTTCCAGCATTTTCTTGTTTGTATCTGGCTGCTTTTGTAACTGGATCCATCATTTGGAAGGGATGTAACGCCATATTAAGAACACTTGTACTGGGCTAAAGAAAGAATTGGGAGGTTTATGTAGAGTTTAGTTTAAGAAGTAATGGGTAAACCCATGTCTTGTTCTATTCTCCATGTGCAATATTTGACAATGATCTGGTTCAAATGACAACATCAAGAATCAATTCCATGGTTGATGTTTGTGTTATCCAAACCCAGACTGCTTCCTGCAGGGTGGTCACGTGTACCATAGAGTCCCCTGGAATATGGTCTGCAGGATCAAAGGGGAAGGAGGGAACAATATCCATGGGGAACCCAATCATCTGTTGAGCAGAGACTATGGGGGGTTAGTGGCACGCACAGCTCTGGTTGAACTGATTTAATGATCCTTCCTTCAGAATTATGCAGATGCTAGTATATCAGCAAAATGCTTAGGAAGGATTTGCTCTGCTGTCCAAGTAACTTGAAGGTATACATTTAAAAGACTAATTCATGGATCTGCTCTTGTTTTGCCATTGCTGTCTTTATGGCCCTCATATCTTTTTTGGCAAACTAGTTCTGCATGAGATTATAGACTTCAATGTATTCATTCCATTTTGGGGCTCATGGAAGAATATGGCACCACATTTGGATTAAGCAAATAGTTTAATAGAGCAGGCTGTAGGAACTGCTCTTTCGCTACAAGACAAAAATATCAGTATTAGACAGAAACAATAAAAATTGTCAATGGGGCAGAATTCATGTTAATAATGGTTTTAGCAAAAGTGATTTCATCTGGCACAGCAAGCATTCTATTGCACATGCAAGTCATAAACATAAATGTTAAATAAATGTTCACATGCAATATTGAGATCAAAACTAGCTGTTCAGTTCTTCTTTCAGCTGAAACTCTTTGAAACCTCAATGTTTTGTTCTTTTGTTTTCTGATGCAGTACATATACTGTTTGCTGGCAAGGATCAATCAGCCCTCTATTCCTGGAACTCAGAAATAAATCAGTTCTCTCCAATGCTGAAAGCCCCTTCAGCCAATCATATTACCACTGTCAATGTAAGGTCTCTTAATTCCAGCAAAAGCCTAGTTGTTCTAACTGGAGAGTCGTACTCCTATGTTTATGAGCTAACAGCAATCTCCAACCAATCAGATTTTATTCCAAGGTAGGTCCCTGATTTTATCCAGTAGCTAAGAAACAGACATGGAGCAGTATTCAGTGCTGCCATTGTGCTTTCACTCATTCCATTGTTCATGCACCAGGAAATTGCTACATTCCAATGCAACTCTGGAAAGGATCAGAAAGCTCATTTCCCGACCAGGACAACTTCCTTCTACAAGGCTTTCCACTTGTTTTCAGCTGCCTTAAGGACTTTCAACTCCCCATCATGCTAGCAGTGGGTTCGTTTGTGCAGGGCAAACACAGGTTAAGGGCCATAGAGAGCAATTTCTATCTTAATGTTTTTAACTGGTTATAATTTGTAACTCACTTTCATAGCATCTGTCATTTTTTTCTTTACTGTAATTGGGACCCTGATTCAACCTTTTCCACACATCATTTTTCACCCTTCTCTAGTAAAAATATTGCCATGGAAAACCCTGCAGAAATCAATAACTAGGAATGCTCTTTATGGAGCCACATGGGAGCCCAGGAGAGGGTGATTGAGACAGAAAGACCCAAGAAATAGGAAGCTAATATAAGATTCCCTGGGAAATCAAAAGCTAAGCTGACATTGGGCAAAGTCTGAGCAAGGCCAAGAACTCTTATCTTTGGAGACAAAAAAACTCTTTAGATTTTATAAAACAAAAAGAAATATAAGTTACCTTCAGGTTAAAGTCTACAACGATTTAGTGTCTTGCTCAGATGAGCTCTGTTTGAGTTAGAAAAGGTGCAGAGAAGAGCAACAAAATGATTAGGGCAGCTCCCCGGCTACCACAGTTTGGACTGTTCAGCTCAGAAAAATGGTAAGGGGAGTCATGATCGAGGTGTTTCAAATCATGTGATATGGCGAGAAAGGGAGATGTACTAGGCCTGCATAAACCTGCTGCTGAGGAGCTGAGTGGTGGAAGGTCTTGCATCCCTCCTGTTTGAGCAATCCTGTGGGCGGCTGCTTTGCCACCATGTGTACGGAGTGCCAGACTAGATGGACCTCTGTTCTGATCCAGCACAGCTTCTCTTGTGTTGTTATGCCTCCTTTCTCAGTCCCTGAGTTCAACACAAAGCAGAATTAGAGTTGCATTTGATCCCTTAGAGCAGGAGTAGACAATAGCCAGCTTATGGCCATATGTGCTCCCCAAATGGGAATTTTGCAGCCTTGATCAGGTTCCCTGTCTATGTGATGTAGTCCTCAGTGCTGCTTCATTGCTGGGTTCCCAGCAGAATTGGGCTCACTCCAGCTGTTTGGCAAGTTAGGAGAGTGTGATTCCACTGGGAAACAATATGCAGGCTCCCCAAAAACATCATCCTTAATATTAATAGTGATATGAATTTTTTGCAGCAGAATCACAGAATGCAGACAAATGTTTGCTTCTGGTAGTGGAACAGATTTGGGTGGAACAGAGGAGAGGGGTGGCCTTGGAGAATTCCAGGTGTTCCAGTCTGTACCCTGCATCCACACGGTTGCTGAGCTCTGCGTTAGAGCCACACCTAGGAGTTACTGGGTCAGACTGAAACGAGACTAAACTAGATGGAGAATGGCTTCTGTCAGCAAAACAGAGAAAGAAACATTTTGCTTCACACCTGCAGCATGCTGTGCACTCTCAACATTGTGTCAGATGGGTGAGAACCTTCCAGAGTAGGATTGGAAAGAGTGCCAGGCACTTCAGTGGGATGGAGAGGAGGGGAAAGTCCCATTGCACAAGTGGACTGCTAGCGAGACATTTGGTTTTACACAATATGTGGCTTGTAATGCTATGCAGAAAGCAGAAATATTATTATGAGCCAAATTTAACTTCTTTTACTATTATGAGCCAAATTTAACCTAGCTGGAAGTATAATACGTTATTTTTGCATAACAAAAGAACGATTCTGGCTATGTAGGTCTTCAGAAAATCAGCCTTTAATTATCTTTATGCTGCACATCTGTGTTCTTTATGCTAGTTCAGGTGAACTGATATTTGAACCGGGAGAAAAGGAAGCTGTAATAGCAATCAATATCTTTGATGACACAATTCCAGAGGAAGAAGAGTGTTTTATAGTACGGCTGAAAAATGCAAAGGGTGGTGCAGAAATTGGTCCAGATGGTTATATTACATTAATTATACCTCCTAATGATGATGCTCATGGAGTTGTTGGATTTGCTCAGGTAATATTGGAATTTGTTTGCAATAGCTCATTGCCAGAACATGTGAATACTTAATTGCTTTATTCTGATACAGAACTATCATTGCATCTAATTGTAAGCAGTAGGCTTGGTGCAGAAGCAGGCCTAAGTAACTGTTTTTAGTCGAACACCTCACCATATTATTCCCTAAAACTAGGGAGTTTCTACCATTTAATCGGTCCCTCTCACATTAGAACTTGCAATACTACATTTCTCATACATCCAGGGCCTTTGTAACTGAGGACCTGCCAACACTGCATCCAGACAGTTCAGCAGCAAAGTGACTGTGTCTCAGCACCTGGGCCAGCTCAGTTGTGCCAGAGCCTCCAGATGGATGCCACTCTGCATTGCATTATTTTAAAGTCTTTTAGAGTTGCAGAGAGTCCACTGCACATGTACATGATGACAGATACTCATTTATTATTTTGCCATAGAAATATATTATGCTTTTTGTCAAGAGATTAGCCTTATTTCCAAGTTAGTGTGCTTAACATCAGGGCAACAAATGCAAACTATTTATTTGAGCTGTTATGATAGTGCTATGATTTAAGTGAATTTTAAATGCAGAATTACACATGCTCAAATTATTTACTTTGGCCAAGAGTCTCTCCTCTCCTCTCCTCTCCAGTCCAGAGAAGAGGAATGCTATTTCCTTCCTATCTGAAGCAATACGCAAGGCCATCTAAAAGAGAACCCCATAAAGTTATTAAGGGTGTAATCTTATCATCCCTGCCTGTGATGAATGATGCAAGGCACAGAGGCAGCAGACTGCACTGCTGTAGCAGCAGCTTGTGCTCTGCATTTCATCTAGATGACTCTTTTCGGCCCTCTAGATGAAGGCCAGAGAGGGGAAGGGAAGAAGGCCAGAGTGCTGTTTGGATCTGGCAGAAGCCCCTTCCCAGTCCTGTCCCATGGCATGTCTCTTTTCTTCCTCTCTGAGGCCAGTCTGTGACCTCAGAGAAGCAATTGTTTCCTTTCCGGCCTCAAAGGAGTGAGGGCAGGAGCTCAGTCTTCGGAGTCCTGGCATTGAGATCACAAGGCCCCAGAGCTGGGATTTAGGTAATCCCAGCCCACGTCAGATGTTGCCAGGAGGCCACGGGATGATGTCCTAAGTCAATGGTGCAACCCTACCCAGCTGCACTACTGGATACCTCAAGCAATTAAGTTTATCAGTTGAAGTGATCATTTATTGTTGCATATTTGCATTTCTATGATTTGTGAATTAAATGCAGGGAATACAGTTGCTGAGCACTGTTAGAATTTTTGTAACTCTTTTACACATACATGCTTAAGCTGCTTACCTGTTTTTCTGCTTCATTTGTGCATTTACAGAACTCTTTATTTAAACAATTAGAAGAACTGGAACAGGATACCTTGATCACCATCAATGTTGAACGCTTAATTAGCACCTATGGGCGTGTTGCAGTTCAATGGGAGGCCAGTGGGAGTGTTACTGATATACTTCCAACTTCAGGAGTGGTATGTACTTTGGCAAGCAGAACATTAGTTGCAAAAATATGTAAATATGTACATGTTTGTAGTTAGTAACATAGTTAATTACCAATTTGCATATTTAAACACAGAAATTCTAATTTGCTAAAAGGTTAACTGAGAAAAGACTTAACTGTTAGTCTCCATCAGTCTTTACAGCCTCTTTAAGGGGAATCTTTGCTTGGGCATGTCTTAGAGTCTGTCTAACTCTCCCTCCTTATTGGTATTAGGATGGAGCCCCGGAGGCGGTTAAATTCAGCAAGTCAATGGCTGCCCCCCTCCCACCCAATAGCATGCCCCTGGCACTCTCATTTCTGCTCTCCTGACCTCTTCACTAGCTGGATGGGTACAGGAGGGTGGGGTTCTGACTGCGGATTCCTTCCTCTGAAGTCTCCTCTGGGATGCTTCCTTGGTGAAAGGATTTTGCTTTGCGGAGGAATACATGAATAGCCACACATTGCCTGTGGATTGGAGCCTTCTGTCTGAAATCACTCTACAAATGTTTATGGAAAGGGGTTTTTCTGTGTCCTTTTCCTGTTGTAATTTTAGGAAGTATTTCCTTAAAAAGACAGAGGGGAAAGAGGAAATAAAGAACAATTAATTCTTCATCTGTTAAACAATATACACATTTGATCCTGACCACAGTAGTAATATAGTCTAATATTCTTACAGTGAAATAAGAATAATAAAGAGAAGAAGAGGGCAGAGGAGCCATGCAGAATAATGACATGGGCAGTTGCAATAGGAAGGAGAAATTAGCATAATGCATGGAACTCTCCTTGCAAGGATACCATCTCAACTTATGAAATCCAAGCCAATATCAGTGCCCAATCTGACTAAAATTACTAAAGGATAAACTTAGTTCATTTTATAACAGTAGAAGCCAGGGAAGCTCAAGCGGGGTTGCTCTTGCAAAGTAGGATATCTCTGCCCCCTCTTCCTTACCTTTCAGTCACTCTTGAGGGTCCAGTTGGGAGACCCCCTTGAATGGTGTGGGGTTGGACATGGAGGGCTGCATGTGGTTTTCCAGAAATGCCCTTTCACTGAAAAGCAGAACATCTAACACTGAATTAGGGTTAAACAAGCTTGTTAGCATCACCTACCAGCTTAAAATAATGGATATTTATTCGTTATTTTAAAAAAATGAGGACTGACTTCACATATGCCGAAGACTGACATATTGTTTATGTGCGATATATTAAAGACAATCAGTTCACATTTTGTTTACTAGCCTTAGTTTTGGATTCTTGCCTAGATTTCTGTAATAGTATGAAAATCTTTAAAATGCATAATTAATTCATGCTATATGATCTTTTAATAAAATAGGGCATTATCTAGCCCCTGCTGAAACATGTTAAAGTCCCATTAATTGTGGGAATCAAACAGATCTCTCCCTTTAAATCAATAGAAATGTCTTAAAATTGTTTAGATTGTATTCTAAATGACTATGTTATCCTCTCACTTGAAAATTATTCTGTTATATATTTCCCCCTAAAAATATTTAGATTACATTTTCAGAAGGTCAAGCCCTCTCCACAATCACATTAACAGTGCTTGCAGATGTCACTTCCGAAGTTGCAGAAACAGTGATTATAAATCTCACCCATGTCAGCACGATGGGCATTCAGGATCCTAAAAGAGGAGCTACAATTGACCCAAACAGAGCAAAAGCTGTACTGACCATTTTGCCAAACGACTCTCCTTATGGCATAGTGGGATGGCACACAGATTCCCTCTTTGTTAAAGCAGAGGAACCTGAAGGTGAGTCAGCTCTGTGATTTTCCTTGGGAAAAACAAAAAACACCTTTCCACTCTTTCTGAAAGTAGTTTCAGCATAGGTATTTTCCTTCACACTGCAGACTTTAGTATCAGATTATGCATGTACCTCTAAGGTGCAATAGCACTCCACTGGAATCCATATATTTTGAAGAGACAATATGTGTCAGAAACATTCACTTTACATATTTAACTCAGGCACCTGTAGCTTAGTACAGAATGTTTCCTTGTGGAGCTGTGTGTGGCTCAGAGGTTTGAGTCAGCTAGATTTTTTTTGCGATCGTGGCACATTATCATTTGGACAGACCACATGATTTCCAGGTGTTTTTATGATTCTGTGGAATACAGAACTCTGCAGAATGGCTTCAGATTGTTAATACAAACAAAACTTGCACGATCTGAGTATTTTCACCTTAGGTAAAGTTTAACTATCATACATATTTTCCCTGCAGAAGGTCACGATTCCAATCTCCTTTCAGCTTTAAATTCATTGGTGGCCATCATCAAACCAAGGATTTCTCAACTTTGTTCTCCACCTCCAGGATGCTGTATTATGCAGTACAATATATGCTGTGAAGACCAGCTGGTTAGGATCCTATCTGTGTGCTAGTCCTGCCCATCACATGGACTAAACCCTGCTCTTTTCACACTGTCCACATGTGGATTGCTTGTCAGAATTCGACTAGCATGCATGTGGGCCTCATCCATTCTTTCACTTCCCTAAAGCATATCTGGACAATTCACCATATATTTGAGGCCTCTGAATGTGGGATTGTAAATGTCTCCAGGTCAACATATGTGAGTGAAGGAAGCAAACACTGGATGGGTGAGAATGATGGGCATGTTCTTGTTCAGCTGCGTGTGGTGGGCCAGTATTTTTCAAGCATTTAACTTTTTTGAGTCCAACATTTTCGTCCAGCATTCATGTGAAGCACCTTAAAACAATATTGGCTTTTATTGCTTAGCAGATTTCTTGAGTTTTGTCCTAAGCTCAGGGTTTTCAGCCATGTCCTAGTTGTTTGGGTTTGCCTGGTCCTGAAGCAAGTATAATCTTTTGAAAAAGACATGAGCCATCACTGATTTGTTCAGTTAGTAATGTTGGACATTTACGGCTTCAAGATAAAAATAGAATAGAGCAGAGCAGAGCAGAGAAGAAAAGGTGAACTCCAGCCATTGGTGGCTGCCTCTTTCCATCAGACTGCTTTGGAATTAAGGAGAATGAATGTTACCAATACAATTGGGAATGACAGTGAGATGAATGGGAAGGAGTAAGTACATAATAGCAGAATGTTTTGGCAGCCTTTTCTGTAACTTATGGAGCACAGAAAAGAAAGAGGCCTACAACTCCCAGTATACCTCAGCGTGGGATAAACATTTTTTTTTCTGTCCAAAGTTGCATAGGATTGTGCCTTAAAGTGATATAATTCCCCACATTTTGTCCATAATTGTTTAAGGAATTTCATAACATGATGGCTAAAACTTGTAGGAGAGACTAAATCAGTGCTTTCACTCCTTGCATCACAGACCTGTAGATAACATGGACCATTTTTTCCTTCAATCTTTTCAGGGAAATCAACTTTTGTTACTTTACATGTTCTCAGAGAGCAAGGATTTATTGGCAATATCAGTGTGCAGTTGATTCCATTCTCTGTTTTATCACTCCCTCTTGTCAACCAAGCTATGGAAAATGAAGATTATAGATTGGAAAACAATACAGTTATTATGACAGAAAGCATGACAATAGCTTCAGTAACTATAACAATTTTGCCAGTGAGTATTTGCAAATATGTATTTAAAGCTATTGAAAGGGTTATGAATACAACAGATATATTTCTGGTCAATAGGATTCAATGTACATAAATAGTACTTCATAATTAAAAACTTTATTTGAACATCCATAATTCAGTCTTTGAGGTACAAGTTTATTGAAGTCTATGCAATCCCTGAAGAATAAAGCTGCCCCTTTCCCTTCCACCAGCAAATCTGTGTGTGCAATCGTGTGTGTGTGTGTGTGTGTGTGTGTGTGTATCAGTTGCCTCCACTGAAGCGTATGTACATATTTGGGCTCTTTAGCATAGAAACCACATATGTCTTAGTCAACTTTGTTGGGGATTCCTTTATTTCTTTTACTGTGACTTTTAACTTAGACCCAAAAGGGAATTAGCTGCTTAGCTTTAACTCTGTCTTTAAATGGTGCCCTTGTAATCTTCATTTATTTAGTTTGGTAAAAAACCTGAAAACCACCAGAGACTGAGATGAGACTTTTCTGACTTACTCCTTGTTCCTCCCAACAAGGAAATGATACTTAGTAGCTCTCTATACAAGTGCTGCCTGATTCATAATTATTTGTCCCATCCTTCAAATTTAGGCTATTTGAATTGCTGTATGGATAAGGAAACTAATTCTGATCCACTCATATTAAATTGTGGTGGAAATTACAACCATTATGGATTAATCACTCACCAGACTGCTGGGGCTAGTAAGGGGACAAGGACAGAGAGGGTCTTCAACATGCTGAGTTCCCCCTTTTAAAAACACTTTTCCCCTACAGGATGACATTCCCGAATTACAGGAGAGATTTGCAATCAATATTAGCTGTGTGCAGTTGCTGGATTCTTCGTTTACTGGAGGGCAGCCAAGTGTGAAGAGAGTGGGCTTGGAAATAGCTGAGATAATGATAGAAGAGAATGATGACCCCAGAGGAATATTTCATTTCAATGCTACCAAGGTGAGAGTGAGCTGAAAAATACCAGTGCCCCTGTGCTGTTACTACTTCTCATCTACATTATCTGAGGGTCATTAGGAGACAGAGAGCTGGTTTGGACTACCTTATTACAGTTTAACAAGGAGAGATATACATAAGCTTTCCCCTCATACCTGTAGGACCATTGGATGTTTGATGGTTAACCCAAGAAAGCCATCATCAAGCTTATTTCTCACTTCATCTGAACTGGAAAATTATGATTACCAGCAGTAGGCTGAGCCAGGATCCTACACCAAATTCAAACTATGTTCCAGAGATAATCATCCAAACTGAGCCAATGTGTTGGCCATACCACTGAGGGACTGAGGCAGATTTGAAGCTTAGGAAAGAACTTTTTGTTCAGGGAATTTCCTGAATGTGCAGCCTCCGCTAATTTAGCCTCAGTGGTGGGTACAAGAACGAAAATAGCCCTGAGGTTTGAGACATCAACTAATTCAATAGCAATAAGAGTACAGAGAGAATATTCAATGGAGTTGAGCTACACTGAGGCTGCATTGGTGACTGAGTAGCCATGGTCTGTTAGAACTTTTGGACCAGAATTCATACTAGGATAAAAACAGACGATCAGAGTGGGATCTCAGCTATGCTAAAAGTCATATCTGAAATCAGCCAACACTTGGCATGGGTCTGAAACCTCAATTACACACTCTGGTATTCTGACACAGGAGACTTACAGTCAGTGAGTCTCTTATTGCAGCAAGCACTGTGGTAAAAGCTTAATGCAGGTGACAATTAGTTATAGGCTCCTTCAGTAATTACAAAACAAGCAAAGCTAATAACTGTATCCATGTCAGAGATCAAGACAACTTGTTTTCTTCAGGGAAATATCTGCTGATCAGCATACAGGGCAAGGGGTTCAAAAGATTCCTGATGTAATCCGTCCCAGGGAATCTAAGACAAAGCTTTCATATTAAGGAAATGGTTTCAATTCCTCGCAAAAGCCATCACGAGCTATCACAGTCACAAGTTCTGGAGAAAGACGTAAATAAATCCATGCATACAGTGATAGACTTCAGCCTTGAATTCTTCATTAGAACCTCTAGGCTGCATGAGCCAAGGACTATCAAACCCAAGAAAAGACAGTAAGTCTAGAAAAATCCCACACATGGAGATATTTTGATGCCCATTGTTTCTACCTGGACCTACATTACATGGGTCTAGACATTAAAAATTCCAAGAGTCAGGATCAGTCCAACCTAGTCACATTGACACTGAAGACACATAATTCATAGCAAACTAGAATTCAAGGGCCATGAAAAGTACTTTTCACGGTAGGATCTTAATACAGAGTTTAAAGAAACAAAATACCAACTAGATTGAAAATCCAGGGGAAGAGTAAATCAGGAGGCCCAGACAGTAGTAAGTATAGAAAGAATTTGAGTCAGTAAAGACAAAAATGTTCCTAGTGAAGCCTCCAACCCTGGACACCTGCTTAAAAGATGATGTGGCTGTGAGACTCCTCCTCCTGAAGAACTGACACTAGCTGTGTTCATGGAGTTAGACTGACCTAGTGGAGAAGGGAATTTTCTGCAAGCTCTCTGCACTGTACATGTAGTTGCCAAGGGGAATGGCTCCCAAGCCCATGCACTGTCAGGGGTATTGCTCGTCAAGGTATCTCTGTTTCCTTCTCAAGTGTTGGCCTACATGTGGGCAAGGGCTTTTGAAAAGGCCTTTTCACATTCCAGAATATGTGCTACTGTAACAGTCATGATACAATAGTGGACAATGTCAGTTTTACATTATGGATCATGATGCAGGATGTTTTTAGGATCTTCAGACTGTTTAAATGGAGAATTAAGATAGTGTTTTTGATTTAACTGGTTTATTACTGTTATTAATAATATTATATCTGGAAGGATCTGAGCAAATCATTCCTGCATCATGGAATATGTGTTGTTTGCTTTCCTTATTCCGATGTCAGAAATGCAGTTATACTGCTTTTTATAATTATGCAATGTGTTAAATTAATTTTGTTTTCTTTCCAGGACATAAGCGGAACAGTCTTTGGTTATGAGGTGCCTCCACCAGATAATGTGCTAAAGCTACCAGTTGCTCGAACAGCAGGAACATTTGGAGTAGTAAACCTGTACTGGGAAGCCAAACCTACTACCGCTAGCCTGGAAGACTTTACTCCATCATTTGGGAACCTTACGCTTATCGATGGACAAGTATGCAGATGCAAACATTCTTACACATTTTCTCATTACCTTTCACACCTCAGTGTCTGTGTTTTTGTGGCCATGTTCATCACATGGTGATTGCAAGAAATTGTGTGAAAGCCCTGTCAACTTGTTCCTATTTACTTATTTTGTATAAACCACATACACACAACACGATCTTAGGCATGTGCATTCAGAAGTAGTGCCTCATTTGATCCAATGGACCTTACTCCCAGCAAGTGGGTGTGATAGAATCAATGTCTATGTTTTTCTCTGCTCTAGCAGGACCCACCACTAGCACAATGGAAAGCTAGAGGTTCCCAAAGCAGCTGAAAATGACAGAAATGCTCATTTCTGAGATGGGGCAGAACAGCTGAACTTGCAGAAGGAAGCTTTGGTGTCTTGTCACATCCTGAATGCAAGCATTTGCACTCAGCTTCCACTAATACTAATAGAAGTATTAGTTCTATTAGTGGAACTAATGGGACACAGCAGGAGTGTTGGCTACTGCCCTAGCATTACAGCTTTAGACAACTACCTGTCACTGTGGTGACATGTGGTATTGTCTGAATCCTCCCAGAAGCCACTCCTTCTTCTGAAATGTCTTTGTATTCACAACTTTTCATTCTTGATGGGGACATTCACATGGAATAATGAATTCTGGACTCTTTCATGAGATGAATTACATGGTGATAGGGTAAGCTTTCCTCCTGTCAATAAGTACCTGCAAGCCCCACAAAACTTAGTAAGATTTTCACTGGATAGACATGCAGAGGACTGAAAGGGGTTGGGAGGGTATTTAGATCCACTTGCAACCTATCCATGCATGCCTACTGTTGGGCTGGTGGACTTCCACTTCCCTTGCAATGCACTTCTAAGGTAAGGTTCAGTGAGGTATCAGCAGGGCTATATGCAAGTCCATACAAGTACAAAATTGCAACTGGCCTCAGAACTCAGTACTCTGAGCATCTCATTCTTTTTTTCCCAAATAAGTCTTCAACATATATAGTTTCAAAGTGTGCAGTTAATGCCTTGCAGCTCAGCAGGACTTCTAATGGCTTAAGGAAGGAATTCAGTTCGCTGCATAGTTCTTCACCTCTCTCCATGTGTATAAGAAGCAAAATAATTGTCTCCCAAAGCAAGCATAATATTTCATGTGCTTCAGTGTTTGTTTTCTAAGTGCATAGTACATCCAGCCTTGGTAGCAGCAATGACCATGCAGCCTGACTGATTTGCTGAAAGTATCAGACAAATATTCTTAACATCCCCCAATCAAATAATGAAAGTTTCAAATAAAACTGGGGAAAATTGCAGTGTAGAATCCTATGGAATAAATTTCCATGACATCTCCCTGCCTCTCAGAGCTGTCCTTGAAACAGCATTTTAGTTGAATAATAAGCATTTGTTGCACAATTTACAACACCTGATGCCCTTTTGTATTCAGAGATGCAGCTGAGTAATTTTAGTTTTGAGACTGAATGCTCTTAGACACCCTCTCTTTAAATGGCAATGTGTGGTGTGTCACTTACTTCAACATATAGTAATCCAGCCATGCTGGGTTTGGGGCTTCTGTGCCCATTTTGCTGAGGAGGGCCCTGCATTTATGCCCTGAAGTCTTGCACTGATGGCATCACTGTGAGTGCTGAACACAAGAAGACCACAAGAAGACGGTTGCTGAAGAGGGTATTGTGTAATTTTTTTTAAGTGGGTGCTTAACTATTAGCTTTTGATGAAATTTGATGGACCACACTAATGTTCTTCCTTTCTGAAGGGGAACTGTCTTGTCTGGTGATTACATTTCTTCCTGTCTTCCTGCTGGAAGCCTGCTGGAAGCTGTCTCTAGAGTTCACACCCACCTTAAAAAAAAAAAAGTCTGGAAACCATTCCATTTTGCAGTGTGTTCTCATCTGAGTTTCTTGAGTTTCAGTGTGCTGATTGTAAAGATGCATTTTGCCATTTCTGTTGTGTGCTTACTCTCTACAGGCAACAGGACTAATAGAGATCACCATCATAGATGATGAAATTGTTGAATTTTTGGAGATGTTCAATGTTACCTTAGTCAGAGTGATGGGTGGTGCCAGATTAGGGGAAGATGTGCAAGTGACTGTTACTATTCCACCAAATGACTCCCCTGTCGGGGTGTTCGGGTTTGAAGAAAAGCATGTAAGTGTGAAAAGGACATTTGGGAATATTTGTGTGCTGGGTAGTTACTGATTCAACAACAACAATGCTTTAAAAGCTATAACTCAAAATTTTAATAAAGTTTGTGTAATGAGGAATGAGCAACTTGGAGATCTGGACACAGTTATGCACCCGGGAGCCCACCTGGACCACACATGGTGAGGAGACAGGTACAGATACAGATGTATAAAATCACAGATTTGGTGACAAAAATCAGCATCAAGCCATTATGTAGAGCTCAGTAGTCCTAGAAGTGTTAATATTTTTTGCAATCACTGTCTCAGCATTTAGTGACTGCTATGGAGTTTCATTTTTGTTAATTTAAAAAAACGTTGGCGAACACATGGAGGGGCTATGTAGAGCACGGATGATCCCTGTTGTGTATCCCTGGTCTGTTGCTGATGTTGTTATATTACATCCTTGCAAGGTACCCAAGGTGGATTACAAAGTGTTCTTCCTCTACCTTTTATCCTCATAACAACATTGTGAGATAGGCTAGATTGAGATTACTGGCCCAAAGTCACCTAGTAAATTTCTTGACTGAGTACTAGAATCCAGATCTCCTGAATCCCAATCCAGCACTTGGACTATGCCACACTAGCTCTTTAAGCAAAATAAATGATATTTTCATTATTTTAACTATATCATAGGTTGAAAAAACTTCATTAACCACCCTCCCCCTACAATTTCAGAATACCCTTGCCAGAAAAACATATTTTTAACCTACTTTGTTATCATTTCAACACCAGGCAAAGACTTTTCATTCTCTCAGGTCTTTTCATAATCTACCTTTCTTCATAGTTTTATCCCTATAAGTTTAGGTTTGTGCTTCTTTTTATGTCTGTTTTAGTCTCTGTCTCTTTGAATTGATCACTAGTTTTATTTGACTGTTAGGCTGTTGCATTTTTAATGTGCACTTTAGATGCTATGTGTATTTTTATTTTATATTGCCCTTAGTTCTTTTGGGTATTAGTGATTAATACATTTTAGTAATAATGCTTTATTTATTTTTAATGTATCAGCTCTAAGGAATCTATTGTGAAGCAAAGCTAAAGTGCAAAGGTATGAGTTGAAGTGGGAGCTAGCTCTCAACAAAAAGGCATTGGGTTCAGAAAGCTCTTTCTGCCCAGTATTGGCTTGGGCTTTGAGTAAACTGGAAGGTAGAGTGATAAGTTGCCCTGTCAATTAGGTTGCACATGCTCCTTCATTCTTTGCCTTGTTCTGTTGATGCTTGCTTGCTTTTTAAATTTCCATCAATATTTTTTTTCTTACAGGAACCATAAGCCAGAGGTGGGGAACTTGTGGCCTTGCAGATGTTTTGGCCTACAAGCTTAATGGTCTCTCACTGTTGGTTATGCAGGCTAGGGTTGATGAGATTTGCAGGCCCAAACACCTGCAAACCACACTATCCCCATGTTCTGATGGTATCATATTATGCAATTCCCTTACACTTGTCAATGATATGGAATCAGAGAAATGGAGCACAAGTGGAGTGACAGAAATTGGGAGGTCATAACATCACTGGGGAAATTGTAGTCCATGTTGTTAGAAATGACTTGACAGAGGCTGCCATGTTTGATGGTTTGATGTTTGATGGTAACCTTTGCTTCACCATGAGGGCCTCTGTCTCTCATTGCTAGTGGCTGCTTCTAGGCCAAAGCTGACAAGACATATCACAATTCACTTGTGTTTTCATGGGGCAACTGAAGTGGGTTCCTTTTCCTTAGGCAGACTCCCTGAATATTCTGATTATTTTTTCTTCAATGGAATTCAAAATTGCTTCTTTGACTTATATTTCTTCCTCTGCTGTAATCCAGTACACGGATAGCTTTTTTTAATAGCTGATTTTAATACCAGAGATAAGATGTTATTTGGAGGCAGGATATTAAGACAAGCATGTTTCAGATCATCCTCAGGTCTGTGGTTGCTAGGAGACCATTGCAGAGGAAGGACTGTAAGTTGTGTCCACATGAAACAAGCACTGGTACATGCTGAGCTGGTTTCTATTTGAGAATGCTGGGCAGAAATGTAATAAACAGATTAAATGGTTTTACAAACGCAGTCACTATTTCAGATGCCAAAGGAAAAATCTTGAGTACTTTTCACAGATGTTACAGTACTGCGAGTTTTGCTCAATGAATGTTATTTTTAATCAGTTCTGTTGTGTATGTTTCCCACTTGAAGATATGAAAGAAACAGGAAATGTGAGTCAGCAATCAGGACACTGAGTGTGGGGGGAAGAGAGGCTTTAGGCTCAGTCCAGTAAGGCTGACGTGTCCACAGAAGTAGGCTTCTGCCTGCATGCATTTCCTGGCTCTTGATCTGCACAGCTGATGCTCTGAGCTGTACTGGCACCCAGCAGTGGACTGGGTACTCCATTTGTGGCACCCAGAGGATGATCAGTGCTGCCCTTGCTGATGGCACTGATTTCCTGCTGCAGGCCTTGCTTTTCTTCCCTTCTAAGCTTAATGTTAACAACATTCATGACATGGTGCTGAAGCTCTTCTCTAAAACTTTTACCTTTTTGTTCTTTTAGGTAACATTGAAGGAGCCTCAGTCAATTGATGATCCTGCTTCAAATGTCTTTCTTACTGTAAGTCGGAGTCAAGGAGGCCAGGGAGAAGTTCGAATTATTTGGATTCTGGAGGAGACAGCTAAATATGATCTCACTCCTCTCAATGGAACGCTTCACTTTGCTGAGGTACACCCATTGCTTACTAGCACTTGCTCTTTCTTTTCTTTCCTTCTTTTGTTTGTATTTACTAATCAGTCTTAGGGTCATGGAAGGTAAAAGCCATGCTTCTGTGTGTACTCTTTAAAGATGAATGAACACTCTTGAATGCTGTCAGATGTACATATAGAGGCTTTCTTGGTGTAATGGTCAATCAAAATGTAATGTGTTACTCTGAGTGCAAAAGGGAGTAGGAATATTTCTTCAGAATCACTTGTGCAATGGTGAGGTATGTGTGGCTTTAGGTGTCAGTGCTGTAAGAGAAAGACTGTCAGCTTCCCTTCCTGATACTGCTGTAAGCCATGAATCCTACTTGCTTCCCTTGAGGAATCCTTTTTTGGATTCAAAATTAAGCAACTTTTGCTTGACCAAGTAGGCAGCTCAGATGCTAAACCTGAGAATGAAAGCTTAGAACTCTTAAATGTGTATTTTTAGCAGATAGATAATTAAAGAGAAGAGAAGCATTCCTCTGTTGAAAAGGAATACTTGAAGAGAAGCATTCCTTTGTTAAAATTCCAGTAACAAAATGTGTGAAGCCGATGTATTGTCTGTTCTACTCTAGATGGAATCCCAGAAAACTATTGTTTTGCAAGCAATTCAAGATGGTCTTTTGGAAGGTGATGAAACATATACAGTCCAGTTGGTGTCTACTGATAACACAGAGATCTCACCAATACATGGTAAACACATGCACACCATTTCCATTTTGAGGGCAAGCCCAAATCTAATCTGTGCTTGAATGGCAGGGAGGGCAGAAGGACCCAACTCCCCACTTGTCTTTAGCAGGCTACAGTTTGGCATGATGGGGCTAAAACTAGGGGCCAGCCAGACCAGACCTTTGCTTTCCCTCCAAATTTTGAGCATAAAATATTGCTTTGTATTATTTTTCATGGTTGTAGCATTTAGTTGGTCTGCTAATCTTTCCTTATCAGGATTATACTGATGAGAACAAGTCAGTGTTTATGAAGCTTTTAAAAACAACCTGACATTTAAACCTGAAATGCAGATTGTTGTCCTGAATATTCTTACCAACTTGCATTCTAGTATCTCAGAATTCAGGGAAGAAATTGTGTTGTGCTTCATTTCTTTCCTACCCCTTTGAAAATAGGTGTGAGTTGTGTTGGGATTCAGAGTAGCAATGCAAAACTGTGAACTGAATGTGTTTAACAAATATCTGCAGTGTTGCTGCTCAGCTGAGTTTTTGCATTACAGACTGCAAACTGACACACTGTTGAACTTTAAAGGCCCCACAGCACTCAGCTTATTCACATATATTTACTGCAAAATAAATTAAGGCAGTTTTTAGAACAAGGTGTGATGAAAGGTTTGCTTTACAGTTTAATATCAAATAAAGACAGTAGTGCTTAGCTATGGAAAATTGCTGCTTTATGTTCTTTTGGAGATTTGCTGCAGTGATATTGGGCAATATAATAAGAAATCAGGCCTCTTGTAATAGGTATGCAAAATATACATTTCTTTTTCATTATTTTAATCTGAAAAAGAGATGGGATACAGTTCTATCAACTAGTTCTTTTTATCAGCAAATTTCTTTGTATTGTCAGGTACTGTAACTATCACTATATTGGGAGACAGAGGAGCTTTTGGGGTTGTTGGAATAGCATCATCATCCACTCATATTCTGATTGGGGAATCCATAGGAAAGTATAATGGAACTGCTTTTATTGGGTAGGTACACCATGGACTTCTCTACCATCTCTGTAGATTGCTGTTGTAATCTGTAAACATATATAAATATTTATTTTCCGTGTAGATACGATTGGTAACAATTGACAGCTCTGAATTATTATTTAAATGCAGAATGTTGGTTTTTTCCTACCTTGTTGTGTTCTTTGTAGAGATGCTGAATAATTCTAAGAGTTTCCATTCTTATAATTTGATGTTAGGAAAACTGGAGGCACAAATAGACACACAGAAAAAGGCTTTTCTTTTCAGAACATTGGATTTCTATATAGAATGCATTTCAGATAATATCCCTGCCATCTGGAGAAAGTGATGAAGTTAGTTCATCTCTTAATTCACTACAGGGGAAGTCTTCACTTTTATTTTTATTTAGCTCAAAAATTTCAGCATCCTTTCAGACACTAGCGTACCAGTGATCACTGTATTTTGTTTGGTGACCAATATGCTGACCTTCCAGCATGTACACATTAGTTGTCCAGTGTGCTGATCCCTTCATAACAGCCTTCCCCAAGTTGGTACCATCCAGGTGTTTAGTCTACAACTCCTAGCATTCCAGGCCACTGAATGTTTGGACTAAGGCTGACGGGATGAAATGTAAAACTTTGAGGATGGATGCTGTACAGAATGTTGCTGGGCTAAATGCACAAGTAGAATCATCTTGGGGTAGGATAGACAGCACTGTCAATTTCTGTTTCTGTCAGTTTATCATTTTTCCAGTCTTAAATTTGGTTCAGCCCAAGCTTCAGGAATTTCCTCATTTAAATTTGCTTCATCAATAGGTTTGTTTGTTTGTTTTTTACTTTTGCATGAAAACACGTAAGGATTTTTCTTAAAAATTTCTCTGAATGCATGCATGTTTGCCTAATATACACATTTTCTGCAAACAATTTGCCTTAATGCAATGCCTTTTGGAATGTTATTTCTCCTGACATAAGTATTTTTGCACAAATTTTTGATTTGATAATTTAATTGCAAAATTCAGAGAAGTGAGAGTTTTTGAGTATAAATGAGTTTTGGTTTGCATAGTAGCACAAAAGCACAAAACTAGGTAAATGTAAACTGGTTAAATGTAAATTGGTTAACCCCCAATCCTACCTTCAGGAGAAAGAACTGGAAGAAATCCATGATAACAAGTGCCACTTTTCTAAGGGTTATTTATTTTTTTGTTTCCAGGGTTGTGACTAACATTGTTATAAATCTGGAAAAACTCTCAAAATACTCAAGACTTCATACTATGCCTTAAATGCAGCTGAAGATCATATTTCAATCTGTCTAGCCTCCATATGAATTAATGTTAATGTTTATTTTCTGATAAATCATGTACATTCAGAGGTCCAAAATGTAACTTTCCAAGTACGAACTGTCCACTCAAAAAAATATCAATAATCTTGCTGCAACCCCTTTTTGTGCAGGGGGTGGGGCATCTGTGTAGGATTGAGTGCAGTGATCGCTGTACTTCAAGGCAAACCCAAACGATAAAATCAAACCTGAAAGATGATCACGTGCCTGTTGTTGTCCACAGCATAGAACGTGGGCCAGGGATTTTTGGAGAGGTAACCGTCTCCTGGAATATAACACCACCCGATGAGAAGGAATTTGTCAAGATATCAGGAACTTTCACCATGAGAGACAGGCAGTCTGCTGCTGTGGTGCTGATACAGGTGCCTACTGTAGAATTAGAGGTGTGACTGAGAATCCTGCTCTCCAGTTGTGTAGCACTGTGGAGATAAGTAGCCATTGCCTCAGTACAATGGCCAGTGTACCCTGTGTACATGCAGCCAAAGCAGGGAGAGCAAATGCAGCACTCAAAAAATTTGAAACGCTGCAAAATCCACAGCTGTGCCCAGCAATTCAGGACTATTTCCACAGCAACCCTCTCACAGAGAACAAGTCAATGTACTCAGGATGCTGGGGACACAACCCAGGACACCTTCCTGCATCCTAAAACACTCAGTGGCACTACAGTGGATTGACTGCACTGTGCCATCCAAACCCAGATTACGCAACCTGTCACGGGCCAAGTCCCACAGCGCAGCTACTGGTCACGATGAAGGGGCAGCTCATGTTTTCCCCTTAAGGGAATCGCAGAAGCCAGGTCTTGGCCAACTTTTGGGATCTTGGGGAAGAAGTCAAGGGACAACGGGACAAAATTGGAGGTCAGAGAGAGAGGGCTTGTTGTCTCGCTGGGGTACTGCCAAGGGGAATTGGGATGAGGAGGGGAAGGCGGGGAACATCCTTAATGAGCCTGTTTGCCTTTTGGGCTTCTCCCTGTTGCTTCATGGGCTCAACTTTCCATCATGGAAAATCACCTCAGGGGGTTAATGTGACATGCAAGCCCGCCACCACCTCTCCACCTCACTGGTCCTCCTTCCTTAGACCTTTACCTCCCCAATACCACTTCATGCCTGAGACATTCTGACAGCAGCCCCCATCCCAGCTGTGCATGCTGGAGGGCTTGCCTCTCACAGCCCAGGAAACCAGGGTGGGTTCACAGTGGAAGAGTCACTGTGCTCTCAGCATCCCATACTACGTATGGTAATACACAGAGACGTAGAGACATAGTGCATCTCACTCAGAAACTCACCCTTGGGCCAGCTGGAGCTAGCTCCTCTTAAGGTGTGGTAAAGGAATCTATCTGCCACACCCTAGCCACACAGAAAACAGACATGTGGGAAAGGTAAAGCACAGCACCTGGGATGGAGTGGATCCTGAAAGGAAATTTCTTGTGCTGGATCTGGGACTGCCCTGTCAACAGGGTATTGCCATGGACTGGAGATCAGTAGGGTGCAAAAGAATGAGCTCCTCCTCTGCTCCATTCTCAGTCCATCCTTGCCTTTGCTCTGTTTTGATGGCATATCTTTGCTGGCACAGCAGCATTGCTAGCAGAGTGTTCTGCCAGCTCAGCTGAGCTGTGCTTCTTTCACAATGGAAGTTTATCTGGCCTTGTGTTGGTGTAATGTGGCTTCTGCCATGTTGGATCATGCGACAGCTGTCATATGTCAAGGACAGTGCTGTGCCTTTAGTGTCCCCTGATGGTGAGGTTGTCTGTCTTGGTTCACAACAAATAGGTACCCCACCCATCCACTAGAGGGACTACTTCCAAAACCTTTCATCTCAGTCTGTTCACTTTTCTTTAGGCTCTGGATGATAACCTCCCCGAGGAAAAGCGTCACTATCAGTTCCGGCTAACTGGCATCAGTGATGGAGGAGCCATCAATGAGTCTGCCAGTGTTGCAGAAATCACCATGGCTGCTAGTGACTTGCCCTATGGGCAGTTTGCATTTTCCCAAGAGCTACTGCAGACAACAGAAGAAGAAAAATGGGTATGTGGGACTTAAGCACTGAATTACTAGACTTCCATTATTAGAGATCTGAATTCTGCATTTGAATCTGATTTTAATGGCAATTCATTGGCTACCAAAAGTTCGTTCTACTTTTGTGTTTCGATTCTATTTTAATGCATTAATGAATTGTTATTTAGTTAAGCCGAACAGTTCCTACATTTTGTGTTGAAGGAACTGCACTGCTGAATCAAGCAGGGATGGCACACAGCCCAAATTGGTTGTCTGCCTTTATCAGGAAAGGCAGGGGGTAGGGAACCTGAGACCACATTATTTCAGTTTTTGTGTGTGGAATCCAACACCAGCAATCATTGGGCTCCCCTCCACACACACACACACACACATGCCCAAGGATCCAATGCACACTGTTACTGGGCTTGGGAGAGCTTTCTGTTGAAATCAGGGCATGGCTTTCCCCAGGCTAATATCAGCACAAGGAAATGGAGTGGTAGTACAGCTGAGGTTGGCTGCCATCTCCTCCTCACCCCATCCCTGAAGAATGCGTTTAATACATTGGATTGCAGCATATGGGGTTTTGGTGGAGTGGGGCAGGATGCAGTGCTTGGGGAAGGGAGTGCTAGCTCCTCCTGCCTCAAGAGAGAACAGCCTGCATACCGCCTGATAGCAATTGAGGTTTTTCAAAGCTTTGTCTGACACCTCTATGGGGTTGTGCAGGGGGCTGAAGGGGACTGTGAGCCAGATGGGGAGGCCGTAAAGCTGCCTCCAGCCTGTGGATCAGAGGATTCCCAGCTCTGATACGAAGGCTCCTCATATGTGTGGGTGAGGCTGCACTACGGTCGGGAAGTGGACCAGTTAATTGCCTATTTTGAGATCAGCCTCTCACGCTAAGTGAAGATTTCAAATATGAAATAAGAGGCACACATGCCATGTTTGTGTTGATTTGTGCATTTTTTTTAATTGGTAGTGAGGCAGTCAAGGTTCATCTCACAGTGGCATTTTTCTACTCAGAACATTTCCACTATTCACCAGAAATCTAACCCCCAAGTGAAACTGGTTGATATGATTTGTTGAAATGTAGCATGCTTGGGGAAGCAGAGTAGCTGAAGCCTTAAGAAATGTTTGTCTCCAACAGGCAAACATCACGGTTGTCCGTTCTCATGGGCATTTTGGTCAAATTTGCCTCTGGTATAAGACATTGAATGGAACAGCAGTGGAAGGCATGGATTTTGCTGTCATGTTGGGAATGCTAACTTTTGGACCCAGTGAAATTATTAAAACTATTTATGCTGAAATCTATGATGATGACCTTCCTGAAGGTCCAGAAGAGTTTTCAATAGAAATTACAAAAGTGGAACTGCTGGGAAGGTAAAAAGAAATTTCATGCTACTGGAAAAGACGAGCAATGGCAGCAAAAAGGGCTATATACTCGTATTTCATATCATTTGGCAAAGTTGGTTTGTTGGTCTTGATTTTATGTACTGGGGTCAACAGCAGATTTCAAGAGAGATATTTATGATTGGGTAGCATACCAAGGCTGCACACCCAGGCTAATTCTCAGAGCACCAAACTATGGTTTGCCATGATGTCTGAACTAAGTCTATGTGGAATGGATTAAAAATAGAAAAATGTATATATCATTCTTTTTCTTCTGTACTCTATTCATGTTAAGAAAACAATTAAAAAATTAAAAATAGAAACAAGTAAGAATCTCAGTTTGTGGCCTAATTTGTTGACATTTCCTTTCACATGTTTTTGCAAGTGAATTGGATTCGATGGTCAAGGAAAATGGACTGCAGATTGACCAGCCCCCTGAGATAGGAAATGCTTCGGTGATAAGAATCATGATATCAAAAAGTGACAATGCAGAGGGCATAATTGAATTTGATCCACTCTATACAAGACTGCAAGGTGAGTTAAGGTCTAACATCATACTGAACCACAAAAGGATAATTAGAGTGATTCCTGGGTTTGGTCTGAAAACATGTGATAAGCATCCTCACTGGACCGAAGCAGGGCTTGGTCTGGTGAGTGCTGGAAAGGGAGACCACTTGAGAACCCCACGTGCATTGTCCAGTTTTGTGGAGAAAAAGCAGAATATGAATGCAATAATAAAACAGAAGCAACTAATATGATGTCCTGTTTTTCACTGAGGTCTGTAATTCCTTATTATAAGGGTGGGAGCACACTTTCAGCAAAGGGCCACACTCAATTTCCAAGAAGTTCTTGGAAGTCGCATTCCAGTGTTGGATTAAGTCAAAGCCAAAAAGGGGACGAGGAGACAAGGGCATGACCACCTGGCAAAGACCAGAGGGCTGGTGTGGGATCCCAAGAGGCAGGACTGGTCCCCTGGGCCTGAGGCTCTCTACCCTGCCTTACTGAATTTTTTCCAGTGACATCTTTGGCTACTGTTGAGAAAAAAAGTGTACTTAAATCTCCCCTAACATAGCAAAAATTGGGGTTTAATGCAGCACATCTTTATCAACGAAAAGAAAGCTCCTCAGAAACCAGTCTACAGATAACTGTGATGCTTAATCATAAACCTGATCTTAATTTTTTATTAGTTTGGTAAGGACCTTGATTTTTAGTTGCATAATCTTCCAGTGATCCCATCTAGTGTGCAGGTAATGCTTGTACAGAAGAAGGTTTATGTTCAACCTATGTTCAACATAAACAGTTTATGTCCACTCATTATACACAAATGGGTGCAATGCATGCTTCCTGGGACTAGATCACGAAATGCATCATCTAGAGCTGCATTTGTTGCATTTCTTCTATTCCCCCAAAATACATTTTGCCATAATCAGATGATCAACACTTTTATAGCTCTCATTACCTGTTCAGGAGTATAGGGGAGGCAAGGAAATCTGGAGTCAGTCAGAGACTCATGCAATTAGCTCACTGAAACTGGACTTAGATGTCTTTTCACAGCAGCACATTTAGTAGTCATTAAGAAACCGAAATTCATGACATGACCCTTTAAGTATCTTTAGGCTGCTAAATGAATCTTGGTGGGTTAACTAGCTTATGGGAAGTGTAAAAGCATATATAGGTAAGAACATAGTTTTTTTGTATGAACCCATGTGTTTTAAACAAGTGAAAAGAAACAGGTCTCAAGGATGTGTGCCATTCTCCTTTCACAATTATAATTATATCCTAATCAGAGTGATATTTGGAAACAATGTACCACAGTATCCCCCATGTGTGTGAGATCAATACATAATCAGGTACTTAAGGATAAGCACACAGTTTAGAAAGCCACAACAGGACTGTAGTCATATCTCTACTCTTCTGGAAATAAGTTCCATTGAATTTAATATGATTTACTTCTGAGAAAATGTCTATGGAGTTGCAATATAATTCATTCTGAACTCATTCCCCCCCTTTTCTGGTAGTGGAAGAGGATGTTGGGATGATAATGATTCCAGTAGTAAGACGACATGGGAATTATGGCTCTGTGACTGCAGATTTTATATCTAGAAGTATCTCAGCTCTTCCTGATGGTGTTGACTACAGTGTTATAAATAATTCAGTCATTTTTCATCATGGCCAAAACCGGAGCTTTATCAGTGTCTTAATCACAGATGATGAGGAAAGGTAATGATATTACAGAAGCCTTTGGATTTTTCATTCACTTGCCAACAACTGCTCAACAATTGTGCTTGGTGCTATTGAACATGATATGTATTTAGACAGATGGGTTTATGATAGTAGAAACTGATGAGGCTACCATAATATAGCAGACTATCCTCTATTGCTGGAGAAATACTTAAATTATTGACTTAAATAGATAAAATTTTGTCCCAATCTATTCTCCTGTTATCAAAGATTTTTTTTCTTGTACATTTATCATATGAAGATTTTTTTTAAAGATCACTTCTGAATGTCTGTTTAATAAGCTTCAATTACCCTTATAAATTCAGAAAACACTGGTTTGTCTTGATCTGAAGCCATACACCAATACTAATAGTAATTTCCTGTTGCTTAAATCTACAAGTGTAAACAACTCCAAATGGCTACTCTAGAAATACATGCTAGTGTTCTGGTAAACTGTTGTCCTTTAGGATTTTAATGACACTTGTGCAGAGAGGTAGTTTTTAGAAGCTGAATGTGGCCTTTTCTATTGTGTCTTGAACAGAGAATATGCTGAGCAGTTTGAAATCCAGCTCACAGGTGCCAGTGGGGGAGCAGTCCTTGGGCTCCACCTAGTGACACAAATAACTATCACTAAGAGTGACTCTCTATATGGGCTTGTTCGATTCCTTAACCAAAGCAGAATAATTCTCCCCAATCCGAATGTGTCATTGACGCTGTCCTTGGTGCTGGAAAGAACGGGTGGATTGATGGGAGACTCTCAGGTATGCCTTTTTCTGATCACTCTGTCCCCCCACCCCCACCATTTTAGCCATAGATTCTTTTGGTAGGAATTCACATACTTACAGAGTGAAACAGATGGAATTTACATGCCCTAAGTGTCCTATAAGATTGTGCTCTGCAAGGGTGTAGCCCATATATACTACTGAATATAGTAAATTTTTTAGAGAATCCTTCCAGAAGTAGGAAGCAATACTGAAATCCCTCTTTGCTTGCTTTAAGTACCATTTTGCCAGAAAGAGTCATATAATATTGTGTGCAATAGGAAATTCAGAACTGCATCATCTGAGTGGGTTGCAACCAAATCTGTCTCCTAGATTTCAACCCACCCTTTCATGTGAGTATTTCCCCAAGGAAATTAGCTTTTTATGGGAAGGATCCAATGGTGATCAGCTACAAATACCTGAAGGTTTTGCATAGATGGAATGGAATGGAATGGAATGGAATGGAATGGATGAACTTGGTTGTTGTGTGCTAAGGTTAGCCAAATATTCTTCATACTTTTTAAATTCATGGCCATGACTCTCCTGCAAATACCCACATGGAACCTTATATAGATTTGTAGCCGTCCTCTTGTTAATATCCTTGTAATTCTCTAATACTATAATTGTTCATTTCTATTGCAATTTTAACAGTACTAGTAAATGCTATATTTTGAAATGCATATCTTCCACAGATTAATTGGGACATTTTAGGACCAAATTCAGAAGTAATTTTACCTGCTCTAAATAGAGACATTGGTGACCCAGTGAATGGATCATTTTATTTTGAAGAAGCAGAAGGAGGTCTGAGAAGCATCAGCTTGGAAATTTATCCTCATGAAGATGTTGAAGTTCAGGAAACCTACATTATTAGATTGCGTATTGTAAAGGGTGAAACAGAACTTGATCCCAAGGCTTCCAACATTACACTAACAGTAAATTATATCTATTTTAATCTCTGGCTGCTTTTATACATTGCTTACTAGAACAGACTGGCTTGATTTTTTCCTATTCCTGACCAGCCCTAATCAAGCAATTGCTGAAAGTTTTGTGGAAACATAGTTGAATGAAACTGTAAGTAACTTATCCTAGCCAGCTGTTGATAGCCTGACATTCAGTTCCCAGTTCCTCTACTCACTGGATGCTTCAGTTAATCCAGGAATGGCCAACTTGTAGCATTCCGTATGTTCTGGCATACAACTCCCTTTCCCCCTTCACATTAGCTATAATGGGTAGGGTTGAATGGAGTCCTAGGACAAAATATATGGAAGGCCAAAAGTTACCTACCACTGAGTAAATGCTTCTACTTTTTCCTGTTTTCATAAACAAGTAAATAAATTCCCTAGTATTATGGCTATAACCTTTCCCACTTGTCAGTGTCACATTTGCAGTTTATCAGCAATTAGCCAGTTGTATTTACATAAAATTTCATTATCAATATATAATGGAATATATTAAGGTTATTCCTTTTATTATATTGTACAGAAACTGTAGTATATAACAGATCTGTTACCTTTTTGGTTATCTACAGATTGTTCCTTCCTCCCTATTTTAGATGCATCCACGTGGTTTAACTTTTTATCTTTCTGAGCACTAGCCCTCCATATCATATCATATCATCATATCATATCATCATAACATTCATTTGGAAAACTTCCAACAGTTTCCCATGTGACTTGAAGGGCTACTGTCTGAGCAAATTGAGTCTAAAACCCTTTGGGAGTACAGAACTAGTTTTATTGTCCTTTGAAACCTGATCATATGTCATTTAAAACGAACATATCTGTGATTTAATATAAGATGTTGCTTAAACTCTTTGTATTTTCTCTGTCCCATTCAAAAGGAAAACCAGTGATCACTTACTCTGTTTGATCATTTTTAGATTCTGAAGTTTGGTGATCCCAATGGGATTGTGCAGTTTGCTCCTGAATCCTTATCCCTAAAGTACTATGAAGAGCCATCAGCATCGAAAGGGCCACTGAGTATTGTGCTTGTCATAAAGCGAATTCAAGGCACCATGGGGAACATCACGGTATTTTTACTTTGGTACTTAGCTGCTTACAACAGTACAATCTAAAGTCTTTGATAGCTGTTTAGACCTTCCGACTAGGAATGTGGAATGAGATCTTATGGAAACATCAGTATTTATATGCTGGATTTCAAAAGCTGAATTTGTATGTTAAAAGTTATTAACTAAACTTCCTGATTTTTTAAAAATGTATTTAAAAGGAGTTTTTAAATGTATTTTTCCAGTGAAATGATTTGGAAGGCACTGACATGCATGGCTAACAATTCAATTTAGGATTGACATTTATGATGTGGGAGGCATTTGAAATAGCTGAAGGGTTTTCAAAGATGCGTGCTTATATCTTTGGGTAGGTGGAGGAATATGTGTTACTATGAACTGTGTCTTAAAGATTCAAATATCTCAACAGGTTTTGAATATACTGATTTTTTCCTCCTCCTCTTCTTCCTTTTCCAGATTCACTGGGAACTAAGTAGTAATTCCGATTTTGTGGATGATTTCCTGGCCACCAGTGGCTCTGTTGTAATTCCTGATGAGCAAAGGACATCTGAGATTGTTCTGTTCTTATTGCCTGATGATATTCCTGAACTAGATGAGCATTATGTGGTGCAGCTTACTTTAGTGGAAGGAGGTGCTGATGTAGACCTAGAGAAAAGTATTTCTAGATTCACTGTTTTTGCAAATGATGATCCCCATGGAGTATTTGCCTTGTATTCTGACAAGCAGTCAGTATTGGTGGAGAAAGATCTAAGTCGCCACATCCGGATTAATGTAACTCGACATGCAGGAACTTTTGCAGACGTGATTGTGGAATATAAAATTTCACCTTCCAGAGAAGAAACATTAGTCACTTCAGCCAATGCAATTGGACAACTGCAGATTAAAGCAGGTTCCAGTTATGGAATAAAGATAGTGCCAATACATACCCAGGTCTGTAATTTCCCTTCACCTTACAAGGCCTTTGCAACTTTTCATTGTCTTTCATGGTGTTAATTTGAGTAAGCAACATGGCACTATTTTGCAAGCAATATCACTTTTAGGCACTGGGCCCAGTCCTATTGTAGAAGGGACATTTCATTTGTGTGGTAGTCAGTGAATACTTCTGCATATTCCAGGGTTTTCTTTCTCATATATCTCTCAACAAAGCCCTTTGTATTGCAGTCCCCAAGAAGTAGCTTTTTCTCCTTGTAAATACTTATTTGAAGAAAAATTGCCATACAAAGAACTTCCTAATGATTGTATACTTCCCCAGCAGATTTTGTCATGTCATAGGATCCTACAATGGTATAATCTCTTTCTAGGTAAAATCTGGGGAGATTATACATTCAGCGTGATCAGGAAGCAAAAGTCACTTGGGGGTTTGCATAGCTGCAGGCTCTCAACAACAACAGACCCCTTCTTGTATATTGAAAAACAATCAATTAACATTGTGCTAGACACTTACAGGGCCCTCCATCTAACAGATTTCAATCCTGTAGGATTGCACCCTTAATGCTTAATAAATAATAAGATTGTTGTTCAAGTTTGCTGGCTTTACTATGCCACAATCTGGAATATTCATAATGTTAATATTGCAATGTGTTAATTCTTTGGGGAAAGGTTTTCTAGGGCTGTCTGTTTAAAAGAGTTCTCTCAGGTTATGAATTTCTGCACGTTTGTTGAGTACCTTCTCCATAGTTGTACTTTGCAGGTTTTTATATAAGTGATTATCTCTTTCCAGGTGTTTCTTTTCTTGGGTTTGAATTTGACTCTAGAGTTGAACAATGTAACCCTGCTCAATGTCAGTGCCAATATTGTGCCTAAAATATCAGAGACAGCAATGTCAGTCTCTCTTCCAATTCCCAAGGAAGCTGCCAATTCTCAGGTAACTAGACTTACGGCAGTGTGACAACTTTACCACCAGAGGGCAGATCTAAACAATTAATATGGATATATTGGCAATTTTATTAGAATTAATTGATGGCCACATGTTGAAGCATTTGAATGACATATAACTATAGTGGAATAAAGACTGGTCATATATGGTTAAAAAATTTTTATTTGCTTTCTGTGTGTTTAGGAAGTGGCATGCATGGAAAGCAGAACTCATATTCCATTATGTTTAGTTTTTAAAAATAGAAATCTGGTCATTTACAAATTAAAGGGGGACAGTTTCATTGTATGATTTGCAATTCTGAGAGCTTTTTGCTATAGAAAAGCTTAAAGAATAAGGTAAAAATTTAAAAAATCTATTACTCCAACACATTTTCATTACTATCTTTAGATTATAGATGAGAAAAGGGAACCTGGATTCTATTTTCTAGCACTTATCTGTAAGTGAATATTTGTGATGAAAAAAGAAATTTGGCATCATGTGGAAGGATCCCTTGCATAGATTGTGTAAGGGCGTACATTGTGTAAGGGCTAGATATATTTATTCATTCAAAACTGTGAATTTGGGAGATTTAGATTTATCACAGAAGCTGTGTATGGGGCAGTATGGATGTATGTGATGTATGTGAGTATTTGATACACAAAGATATAAATTTACTTAAATATCACATGGCTGCTGCCACAAAAATAAAAATATTTTTCTCTGTTTCGGCAGGTTGCCTTTGATTCCGTTATCTTAAGACTTACAAATATTACAGCAGGGACAACACAAGCTCTGATAACTCGAATAGGAGTCTATGGTCCCCTCACAGTAACCTGGAATTCTGGATATCCACTTGGCCTCCTTCCAGAGTTCCTTCATCCAGGCAATATCACACCAGCTTCTGGTGAGTATTGTCATTTTGCTACCTCAAGGACAATAGATTGATTTAAGTAGCTTGGTGAACAGTTAGAAAGAAAGCAAGCTATGGAAAGAGTTGTCTCAGGGTGGAAAGAATTGCCTTCCCATCAACTCTTTTGTCCTTCTTTTCATTTGGATCTTTATTTGAAAGGTTAGAGATTGCAGTTTGTCACACCTGACCAAAGAAATCTAAGTGGGTTGGTCTTTTCTTTAAAGCTTTATTCTAGATTTGTCACATCCCTTTCTCAGTGTTTTCTCCAGGCACCTGCAGGGAATCCTTTCAGAGGGTGCAAATCTTGTGCAGCAGAGCCCACTGCTACTGGCTGCCACTACTGAATAATTGACAACATCCAGTCTTCTTGGTTCCTTATCAAGGATCCCACTGGAGTCCTTTGTGTTGGATTTCTTTGCAGCACACCTGAGTCTTTAGGGGAGCACAGCTACATGCCAGGTTGTAGTCAGTACGTGGCATGTAACCCGGCATTTCCACAGCATAATTTGACCCCAGAACATGGTGATTCTTCATGAGCCTTCCCACTTTCACCCCCAAAGCACTGAGCTTGGGTTTTGGTGAAAAGGCTCTCTAGCTGAGTTGGTTTGTGCGGTATGCACAGTTTTTCAATTTTCCTATTTGTCTCTTTTCTTGTAAGACCCCTGCTGAATTGTAAGCAATCCTGCATGGAAAATTCCATGATAAACTGTTCTATCCTCTGTTCTATTGTACTTTTCTTTCCCTGGCTTGATGTTAGAATTCTTGCTGCTCCATACTCTCATTAACTATACATTAAGGAAAGGAAAGGAAAGGAAAGGAAAGGAAAGGAAAGGAAAGGAAAGGAAAGTTATTCCCATTTTGTAAAGCTTGTATTGTTCCATGGTCCAGTGTTAAATGCTTACTTTTGTCAAACAATTTGAACAAGCTATTCAACAATTCTCCAGCAATATACCTTTTCCTCTTTATTTTTCCAGGCACTGTTACTTTTTCCCATGGTGAAGCAAGCAAAGCAATTTTATTACATCTTATCCCAAATCCAAGTAGTCCTGAAGCATTTGCTGTGCATTTATCAGCCGTGCATAGCAATGTATCAGGTGGGGCTCACCTGAGGTAAGAGAGTGATTGCTGAGTTGGTTGCAGTTTGGCAGTTGAATACAAGCTGCAAAAACGTTGAACTCATCCACTTATTAAATTAGGGTTATGCCTTTCTGTATTCCTCCAAGGAATTCTGAGAAGCTCATGTTGTTTCAACATAGTCTTCCATCCAGACAGCTTACAAGGTCAGAGCTGCTTAGCTTCATCAAAAGCTATAGAACTTGCCTTTAAATCACAGACACTTTCATATCTCTATTGATCTGCTGATCCTTCATCAATATAGACCTGTTCAACATGAGAGGTCTCAGATGACTCTAATACAGGAATGCCACTGTTTTTTTTAACTGAACCAAACTTTTTGTTGGTTCCAGATGTTGAAGCTGTTTTTCAGAGACCTGAAAGTGGTAGGAAAGAGCAATTTTTGCTTGCAGTGTCTATATTTATTTTCCTTGCCAGATGCAAATTTCATATTTGTTTTTGTTTCAGATCAGACTTCACTGTTGCTGAAATTGAGCCAATGGGAATCTTTCAATTTGCTCCTAGCACAAGGAACATTTTAGTGAGGGAAGATGTACAAATGGTTAAATTGCACGTACAAAGACTTTTTGGTTACCAAAGCAATTTTACAAAAGTGTTTTATAAGACAATTGCAGGAAGTGCCAAACCACTAGAAGACTTTGAACCTGTTCATAATGGAGAGCTTCTCTTTGGACTTCTTCAGGTTGATGCTGAGTTTGAAATCTTGATTACTGATGACAGTATTTCTGAAGGAGATGAAATATTTTTTGTGAGCTTAGTATCTGTGGAAGTTTTATTTACTCAGCAGTTTGACCCAATGTGGAATCCACGCTTGAACCCAGAATTTAGTGTCGCATCCATCACCCTATTGGCCAGTGATATCCATCACGGTATCTTAAGCCTTGGACCAACTGTTATTTACACTGAAGAAGACACCAACAACAGCACACCCAACACAGTTTTGATTCATATCAGAAGAAATAAAGGGTTTGTGGGAAATATCTCTGTAGCTGTCAAAACCTTTGGTGCAAAAAGTGTTCAGAGAGGGATAGGTGCATTGCCATTTGAACTTGTCCCTGGGATTTCTAACCTAACCTGGGCAAATGAAGGGGAAGATTTTGAGGAACAGGCTTGGTCTGTGGCACTGCTGGATGGTGAGAGAGAGAGCCAGGTCTCTATCAGAATTCTTGATGATGAGGAACCAGAAGGAGAAGAATTGTTTTATGTTTTCCTCTCTGACCCCCAAGGTGGAGCTCAAATTACAGAAGATGTGGATGAAGATGAATTTGCAAGTTTTGCCACAATAATTATTAAAGGTAAAAATGTTCCCACGGATTCAGTAAATAATAGAAATGAACTGAGGTAAATTTTTATTATTAATTTATCCAGCTTCATCAATGTATGTGCATGACTCTTTACAGGGACAGCATAGCTAAAAAGGCAGGGCCCTGCATCAAGGAACTTACAGTCTATAGGTTGATAGTGGGGAAATATGCAGAGAAGAGAAATTTATTCTATTACTTTCTGTTCACTGTATGACTATTTTAAGACTATCAGTCAAATAATTGTGATAAAAAGCATAACCTACTATTGTGACATGTAGCCATAACCTACTTTACCTAGGCAATATATTTCTTTTGAAAACAAATGCAAAAGTAACTCAACTGTATGTTTGTCTACTGTATATTTCTCATAATAACCAGAGGAGAGGGTCCACTATATAATTAATATGAGGGGTTTAGCTGTCCAATCCCATTCATCAGATAACTCCTTTCAGTGGGGCTTCCCAGACAGGATATCAAGAACAAGCCAATATTTTCATCTGGGTAACCTGCAAGATCCAAGGGGTGTTCCAGGCTGCATAACTTCTTAGAGAAACAACATGTTCTGTGTCTCCTATGCCCTCCAAGTCATTGTTCAGCTTTATGCAACCAAATATGCTTCTGGGCTGAATCTGAATAAAAGCTTGTTTATCAAGTTTATCGTTATCCCTCGTTTATCAGGGAGGGAGTGTTCCTTGAAGGCAGCACATTTCTCTTGCTTGAGTACCCAGTGATTATCATCTGGATTCTTCCTAAAATATTACCAAACTGGAAGAACTTTTTCAACTTTGTTTTCACTTCTGGAGGAGAGCAATCTAGCGTCTTTGTATTCTAATGTCACAAATTAGAGTTGTATTCTAACCTAGCTTCTTTGTATTCTAATGTCCACTCTCATCAAAGTGGACATAGCCATCCTCACCTTTTAGATTCAGAGCCACACACTGCCTCCTGAAATAGCTCAACTAGGAGTTAGTTGATCTCTCAAGACATTCATGAACAGGTCTTACACTATCCCTAAGATCTTCTCATACTATTGACCCTGAATATTATCCGAAGGTTGTATTTCTGTTTTAATATGTTTTAAATATGGGTGGTTCCATAAACAAATCTCTTTCACTACCAGTTCAGCACCACCATCATGGCATAAGAGCATAAGAAGAGCTGTTCTGGATCAGACCAGTGGTCCATCTAGCCCAGCATTCCATTCTCACAGTGGCAAACCAGCTGCCCACAAGATCGCACAAGCAGGACATGAGTGCAACAGCATCCTCCTGCCCAAGTTCCACAACAGCTGTTACACACAGGCATAATGTCTTTGTTCCTGGAGACAGCATGTAGCTATCAGTGCCAGTAACCACTGATAGACTCCATGAATTTGCCTGGTCCTTTTTTCAAGCTGTCCTAATTGGCCATTGCTACATGTCATGGAAGTACATTTCATAGTTTAGGTATTGTGTGTTGGAGTACTTCCTTTTATTTTTTCTTGAATCTCCCACTAGTTAGCTTCATGGAATGATCCCATCTTCTAGTATTATAACAGAGGGAGAAAAATGTCTCCTTAACAAAATGATAAAAATATGTATTCCTGTTGTAGTTGAAGGAATAAAACCAGTTTTTAAAGCCTTGGTAACTTTAATCCCACTGGCTATAAAACTCTTGTTTATTTCTGTTTTTCTGCTCATGCCCCAGTATCCTCTCAGTTTAACAGAAATACCTCAGTTTAGGCATGAATTCTAGAGGAAGGGTATAATGAAATACAAATCCACAAACCTAATTCACGTCTTAATGATTCTGCATGATCCATTTCTCATTCAGGAAATGATCTTCAGAATGGAATCCTGGGATTCACTGCAGAGGCACAACATGGCCTTGTGCTTGATGAAGATTCAGAGAAGAGGAAGGTGCAGCTCCTTGTCACCCGGCAACCAAACAGGTACAGGCAATGGCTGGTAGAAAGTGCCATCTCCACACACTATGATGTGCTATGTTGAAATCAAGGATGCTGCTGTTAGCAGAAGAGGTTATCGTGAGATTTTATCATAAATCTTTGACTTTTAGGTGTTCCAATAGTTTACTGCAATCTGAAAAACTTGCCTCATAAATTTGGAATGTGATTTAAGTCAGTCAGTCTACCAGAACTGAAGAGAAATGAGGGAATTAAACACTCTATCAACCTAACTCATATACATAATAGCTGAGATGTGAAATTAATTTCCTTGCCATTTGCACACACTTGTGATTTACCGCTTACCTCACAAAAAGTGCAGTAGTTAGTTGATTAGGGCTGTAAGTTCAGATTTCACCGAGGTTTAGTAGTGACCCATTTGCAAATATGAGTGCAGATTTTATCCATTCTGTTTGTGCAGACAAAGACAGTCAGATACAAAGCTGGTCCAACCATATTACAAAGGATTTAATTTGAGCAGCCTTTTCCAAGCAACTTGAATGTTTCCTAAACAACAAGGCCATAGATGGATGACTATTGGAAGTCTAGGGGATATTTTTGTCCTCTGGACCCCTAGTACAGGCTGCAGTTTTTGTAGCACTGTGAGGATCCCAGGAAAAAAAAAGCTGAAATTATTGGTTAGATGCCAAATTTGGGTGGCAAATTGCTCCATACCACTACAGAGTGCTACTTCAGTTAAATTTATTTTGTTTTAAAGTTAGATTGAATCCTTTCAGTGCTTTGTAGTGGGTACAGATTCCATCCTCTCCTGCCTCCCCCCCAGAAAAGTGGTATAATGTACAATGAGGATTTGTAGGACCACAGATGGGAGCAACAGGAGTTTTATATTACGTATATCTGGCCTAAGTCCTTATCTTTCAAAATGTTTGGAATGCTAAAGAAAAAAGAGCATGTGAGGATATCGGCTTCTCTAATAACTGCTTTGGTCAATGCATGGTTTGCTTCCTTGGTAGGGCTTTTGAAGATGTGACCATCTCTTGGCGTGCAACCTTCAACAGAACATCTGTTGTCCTGCAAAAGAATGGCACAAATCTGGCAAATGAACTGCTGGCTGTGTTAGGGGTTGCCACCTGCAATGCTGGCCAAACAGAGTGCGCCATTTCTATTGAGATCCAACCTGACAATGTGAGTACTTCTGATGAATTACCCAGCTAGAGGGGCATTTTTTAAAGCCCAAACATTTCCCAGACTCAGAAAGAAATTGTAGGTTGTGGCCAGAGTTAGGGGAAACTTAGGGAAGTAGATATTTGTACCAAGGTATTGGCTTGGAAGCCACCTCAGGCTTCATACTTAGAAAATAGCTTTTTGTATTGAATCTCCTTTTCATTCATTTTGGTGCTCTTTGTATAGTCACAGTTATGGGGTCATATCCTCGTGTAGAGCTAACCTTGGAAAGTTCTAGAGCTTTAGCCATTGGACTGGTATTTATTCTTTCTCTAAAGGGAAGAATCCTGCTAGCATGCGTGCTCCATAGGCCAAGCTAAATGCCTTTCCTTTCAGTCCTGTTCTGTCATGCTCGTAGCAGCTTCTAAGAATGCTGTTGGGTTAGAAAAGGTTATCTCTGCTTTTGAAATCAGTGCCTCTGGGTGGGATTTCACTCTCCAACTTGGCTGCCTATACAATTTTCATAGGCTCAGTGCCAATCCATATTTCTAAATTGGCCTTAACTTTTGGCTCAAAGACTTCTGAGGATTGAGAGCCATGGAAAGAAGAAAGCCACCACTCCTTCAGTGCATTAGATATCTAGGTTACTGAGCATGGGGTTGATTCTGCCATCGCAATCATCACTCATATTCCTATCATGTGCATTTCAAATGGGAAAAGTATGCATTCTATTCAAGTTGTTCAAAGGCGTGTACTTCTCTACCTCCCCATTGACTAAAGCATGAAGCTTTGTTTTTTAGGATAAAATGTACATTTTAAAGTGCATGGTTTTCAAACCAATATGCAATTTTCTATTGCAGTCATGAGTTTGGGACTCTGTGATCTTTTCCGGAAAATTGTGTGCTCTCAATCTTGTTTACAATTGTGAATGGGGAAATTGCTTATAATTTCTGAACAAGAAGTTCTCATATATCCCTATCTTAAAATGTGGAGGGACTTATTTATTCTTTGAAGCTAAAGATAAAAGAACATAAAAGCAGTATATGTTAGGGTTGATTCAAAGGAGGAGGTCATTTACCTGAATGATAATTGTAAGAATTCTCATGTAAATATGTTACATGCACAGCTGCCTTAGAGATTGCAGGAACAGCAGTACACATTCCAAAGAGCTGGAGGGTCCAGGAAGACCCTCCAGCTCTTCCTGGCTTATGCACACAGATTACTTTCAACATTAGTGAATCACAAGAATCCTTGTGGAGATAGTCCCTCAATTTGGGAAGCACATTGTACAGATAGCAAAATCCTCTTCAAAATCCATCTCTATTGGCATTGATGGATGCTGTGCTCTGAATATGCTTTTTTATTTTCAGGTACCTGAATTTGAGACCTATTTTTTTGTGGAAATATATGCAGTGGGTGCAGGAGCAGCAGTAAATCATAGTGCAAGATTTGCCTACATAAAAGTCCCAGAAAGTGACTCTCCTCGTGGCCTAATCTACTTTGCTGTGGGGTCTCGTCTAGCTGTGGCCCAAAAGAAGACCACTTTAATTAGTCTTCAGGTGGTTAGAGATTCTAGCACAGCCTTCACCATCTCAGTTGACTACAGGACTCAGGTATGACTGATGCATGAGTGCATAGACTATCCTGTCTTCATTTGCTTTTCAAACCCAAAGCAAAGAATTGCAGGTGTTTCCTTTTGCAGGAGATCTGTAGGGTAACTTCCAGCTGTACTTTGAAAGAACATGGAAAATTTTGTTTTGACTTTTCCCATTGCTGGATTGATCTCTTTTGTCTGGACTGTTCAGATTGTGTTCTCATGTATTACTGAATGTTAAACTGTCTAAAAGCCGGTTTACCACTTTTAGTCAGTAAAAGGGGTAATTTGTGTCCATTTCAAAAGGTACAGAAGTGGCAAGCACCAACAGTATTGCAGCTCTTCTGGAGTCAATGTGGTGTCACTGATTAAGTCTTGGAGTTGCAGTTGTGCTCAAATTCTTGCTCAGTAATGAAGCTCATTAGGAGATTATTGAGCAGTTGCAACTTAATTAACCACCTCACAACTTAATTAGCCATCTAACTGGGATGGGAAACTTGCGGCCTTCTAGATATTTTGGCTAGCAACTCTAGTCAGCCCTCGCCAGCCCTGGCGTAACTTTAGGTGGATGTTCTGAAGATGAGCCATGGGAAACCAATAAGAAACTTAAATTGAATTTCAGTTGGAATTAAGCCAAAAGAAATATCACAACCAATACACTGCTTCCTGCACGTGACTTATCCTTACTTGTGGAAGTCAGGAGGCAGCAGTAAAGACAGAGGGAGGTGTGCGTTCACTGAGCAGCCAGTGGCAGCATCCTTTATAGATATTGGGGGTTGATAGCAGACAGCGGCACCTCCACTGGGGAACATTCCTGTGCAGCCTCTTGACTTCCACAGGCAAGGGAATGGGAGGTGCCAGCTCAGAACATTTTGCTGCCTAAGGTGGAGACCAGTGGTGGACCACTCTCGCTGGGGCCAACGCTTGTTGCACCTTGTAGACCTCAGTTCCAGCACTCATCTGTTCCCCCACTCAAAGTGTTGCTGGAAGCATTTCACCATACCCTGTTGCTACAGTCTTCAGCATGGCACTTGTGGGCACCAGTGTGCCTGCCGATCCCTCTCTTAGTGCCCAACAAACCCTCTAACCAACCTGATTTCTGTTTCTCACACACACACATCCGTATACTATCATGCTGCAGAATGAACTGCCACCTTCTAGCATCCTCATCATTCCGAGAATGTCTCTGGGCCCCATGTGGGTCCCACGTGGGCCCAAGAGGCACCCCTAGAAAAAAAGATGGTAGTTGCCTGTAGCCCAGTACTTTGCTCTGAAGTATTCCCCGCCATTCAGAAAAAATGGAAAGGTTAAACTGGAGGCGATAGGGAATAACCTGGGGGTGGGGTAGGAAATATACCCTGTGGGGTGGGTGTGCATGTGCATTTGCTGCTTTGGTTTTCTGTCTGCCTGTTCTGGTATGTGTGCTTTGCCTGATTTGTGTGTGGGAAATATTTGTGTGCGTTCTTGTCTGAGCATCATCGATTCACCTTCTGTATTAGGCATGCTCTGCTGCATTATGTGAGGGCTAGAAGCCCGCCTCTGCCTTGTGTGTGGTTTCTCAGCCAAGTGATTTCTTCTGAGCTTCAATAGCTTATCTTCTGAGAATGAGTGTTGGGGCAGAAAACAGTCATTTTGGAAACTTGGTTTTGTGTTTAGAGCCCAGCCCCTGAACTTGGGTTCCGACTCCCACGTTTTGTACTTGGACTCTTGAACATTTTTTTAAACAACATACCAGTTTGCCTTCTGGGAAATTAGTGTTTGTGATAGGCATGCCTACATACCATAGTACCCATGTTATGAGCCTGTCCATGGCAGGCATTTTGTGAGAGTGCTCCTGACAGTCTACCAACAAAGTATACTCACTGACCCCAAAAAGTTAGGGACCCCTGCACTGCCAGATGGCAGGTTTGGAGCTGGAAGCGGTCCACAGCTCACTTCAGTGACTTTCAAAGACATATAAATTACCTGGCTTGCGGATGTAGTATCCTATGCTACTGTTAGCTAGAGCAAACAATTTGGGACTAGAAAGACTAGGCCCTGTAGCAAAATGTTTCAGTATCACATGTATGTATTCTATACGCCAGCCATCCTGTCATGTCCTTTCCTTGACAATACTCCATTCCATTCCACACACAGTCAGGATTCCACAGGCCCTGAACATGCTTCAACCTCACTGGGCTGTGTGTGTGTGTGTGTGTGTGTGTGTGTGTGTGTGTGTGTGTGTGGAGAGGATGTCTTTAAAGCTTTAATACTCCTGAAAAGCCTGGGGTTCCCAAGCTGATGCTCCCCTCTTGTTCGCAAGCTCTTGGGCTTCTCAAGCTGATGTCTCCCTCCCTCCCTCCCTCCATCCCAGGAGCCCTGTTTTGGCTACTTAGGCATCAGAACTCAGTATCCAAGTTTGCCGTTAGTATGCAGAAGGGAGACTGGCACCAAAACACTGCATTGCAGAATGCTCCTCTTCAGGGTTCCAGCCAGCCACATCTTGTCCCTGAATGCTATGTTCAATTGCCCATCCCCACCCACACATTCAGCACTCTAGCCCCAAACATGGTCTTCATTGGATTAGTATTTGGATTTCCCCCACCCCCACAAACAAAACAAAACAAAACCATCGAACTTTCCTCTGAAAGCTATGCATGCCTTTGGTACTTCTGCAAACCTTGAAGTAGATACTTTCCACTTGTCCATGAATAATGCCATTTTGGGTACAAAAGGACTGGTACTTGGAGAATGAGTTCAGAAAATTGTCTGACTCACATAGTTTTGCTGTATTGTTAAGCTTCCTTTGATTATTCGTTCACTTTGTCTGAGGAAAATCGGTCCATTGGTGTGTATTTGGTGATATTGGAACGCACAGCTTTTCATGTGTGTGTTGCAGGGAGGTGCTTTCAAGATATCACAGTATGGGGCTTTCACATTTTTGTTAAGAAAAAGGACATCATGACACAAAAGATCAAACCAGGAGAATTGCAGGCAGGTGCTTGCTTGTCTGTCTTTGCTCCTCTACTCAAATAATCCTGCTGGTTCTGAGCATGCATGGCAGAGTGCCACAGTGTGAAGGAAGAAGTCAAGGGGGAGGCAGGAAAAATTAGGAATTAACTTTGAGATTCTTATTCCATTCTCAGGATGTACATACTTCCTTTCTGTGAAACCATTTTTAGTCTTGTTTTGTTTTGTTCCAATCACTCCCTGTTTCCTTTAGATTTACTGGTTTTGCTGAGTCATTTAGAAGGGAAAAATAAACAGTAGTTTCTGCCAGTAACTGAGAAAGGCAATGACTTTGACTTTGTTCCCTAACATGTCAGTTCACGTAAGTAACCACACTAGTTTACTTAGCAAAGAGTAGGCTGTTCTTCCTGCAACTGGTTTAGACTGGATTCTTTCAGGCATGACTGAACTGTGATGGTTTCTAGTTAACCAGCAAGTATATTTCATTAATCTGTATTTGGAGCAGTGTGGGTCTCACCCCAAAGTTTGTAGCATGCTTCACCTCTAATCCATGCTGATTAGAGGTGATTTTTCATCCCTAATCCATGCTCATTAATCTGCTCTCTATTAATTAATCTCTGTCTGACACATGGTCCCTCCCTGACAGCAATTCCATATAGTCGATGCAGGTCACACAATCCAAAAACATTTAGAGCTCATTCTCACACACTTATAAACCAGCTACTGTATCCCTTTGCTGGGAACCTCTCTCTGCATAGCTTTCCATCATTGTGCCTGAGTGATGTAGCTGGCACGACCTTCTGGACTGCCAGCTGTTGGATGAAGCAGGGCTGCCTTTGTTTGAACTTTTGTTCACTATGCCATTAGATGGACATAGCAGTGCCCAGCTGCAGGTGTCCAAGTAATGCACAAAGCAGATGCTTATAGAATGATAATAGAGAAATCTGGCAATGTTTTGTAAGAGTTTCTGCAAAAATACTACCACTGCCTTTGCACAGTGCCAGCCAGCCAGCCAGCCATACCTGGAGCCAGTGGGTACAGGTAGAGCCTACCATCACTGAACCTGTTCCTGTAGCTTGACTGGTTGGCCGGCCTGACTGCCCATAGAGGTAGGAAGGGTAGAGCTCAGCTGTGGGGCTGAGGAGAATGCTGGGTCCATGGCACCATCTTAATTATTCTGCAACTGCTTGTGTGGAACAGCTACTCTAGTCAGAGCTCACCAACCGGCCAATGCATGAAGACAGGGTGACTATGGGGGAGGGGATGTCCACAGGTAATAGGAGAGGGTGCCAACTGAAAGCACCTTGTTAGGGTCCCCCAGAACTGTCAGTGCCCTGCAGGCACTTTATGTTGTATGTACATTCTTTATGCAGGATCCACCTCTTCTATCGCTTCATCTAGAGCTATGGCTATTGGACAGTATAGAAATGAAATACTACTAATAATAAGCATAATAATAAATATTCTATTCCTTTCCTCCCATTAATTTCATTCACTTGAGAGTCTGGACATAATCCCCCTCCCCATTCCCACAAGAATTCCCATTCTGATAAATCTGAATTCTTGTATACAGTTTAAGAGAGAATGTTTGCAGAGATCAGAATATGAACAGATTGAATCTGACAAAAGGATTTTGATTGACAGATTCTCTGTAGCTCCCATACTTAAAAACCCTCCAGCCAGATGTCCAGGAACATAGTACTGTGACTGGTGGCTGGGGAGCATCTTTTCCTGGTGGCTGTGCCCCTGCAAGAGAGTGCTTCCCCACTGCAGGCAGGCAGACCTACTTTCTCCTTGACTTTCTTTGATGACTCTATATTCAAAGACCTGTTTATGTTCCTGAGCCATTTAAGAAGCTTTAAGCCTTGGTGGATTGGTTTTTATGCTGTGTTGACCTGCTGTTCTTCCTTTTTTGTCTGTGAGACTGTTCTGATGTTGTATTTATTTTATTTATTGTATGTTTCTTGGTAACTGTTCTTCGAGATGAACAATGTTCACAATTTTGTGGCTAGTAGAAGGTGCCTTGCCAGCCTTAGGAACAGGTGCAGACTCTGCTGTGACCGCGGAAAAGCCTTCTGAGCTCACACAGGGGCTCTGCCTTGGAGGGCCCCACTCTCCATCCTCTCATGCAGCAAAGTTCTTTCTGGAAGATCATCTTTGGTCTGGGTGTTGCAGGCAGGGAGGAGAGGGTGAGGCACCACTGGCTTCTGCAAAATCCACATGCTGCCCTCCTGTTTGTGAGGAAGGGAAAACATTTAGATGACCCAAACCAACTGTTCAAATGTTTTTGATGGAAACAGGAGCACTGATGCTCAAGATCAAATGCTTATGAACCACTACAGCCTTACACATGTAATTTTAAATATTTGCTATTTGAAGCCAATTAGATATTTTCACACTATGATCCCATCCTTACCTAGAACTTTGCTTCTTAATTTCCACAGGAACTGATGAGTCCTGAAGCTCTTGGCCGCATAATCGTATCACCAGCTGTTTCTGGACAAGATTTTACTGCAGCTAGGGGAACATTGTCCTTTGAGCCTGGACAGAGGAATGCTGTTCTGGATATAATACTCAATCCAAAGACAAGTTCCTTAAAGCCATTTCCTAAACGCTTCCAGGTTGTGCTGGTCAATCCTACTGGAGGTGCCAGAGTCAGTGACATGTATGGCACTGCCAACATCACCATTGTCTCCGATTCAAACTCCCAGGCAATCTGGGCTTTGGCTGATCAACTGCACCAACCACTCGATGATGATATTTTGAACAGGGTCCTCCAGTATTTAAATATCAAAGTAGTCACGGAAAGTACAGAAGAACAGCTTGCCGCTGTGTTGCAGATTGTGGACAAGGTATAAATCTGGATATTCCCTTCTGTGGTGAATATTGAATGTGGATGCAGGCAGTCTTTGGAGGATGCGAATGGATCAGAGCAGTCAGCCCTGTGAAAAACATTGTTTTGATGTTAAAAACTAATTAACCTTAGCAAAGTTTAGTTAGCGTTTACTAGAACTAACTATATCTTTAGTAGAGAGTAAATATGAAGATATTTGCCAGCCAGTTATTTGCATGAAGGCCATTGGTTCAAATAAGATGTAATTCTATGCAAATTTAGATAGATAATCATGGCCTACAACACCAGTATGCCCCAACCAGACATGGTGGGCATGCTGGGAGTTGTAGGCCTCTCCTCTCCCCATCTAAATGTTCATATAATTTTACCCTTAGATGGTGAGTTTGAATGGGCAGACCTTATACTTGAAGAGTGTCAGTTCTCAAGCCCATAATGGGTCGTGACTTGGCAATTTAAACATTCATTTTTGTTTACCATCAGACTGTTTCATTTCTCAAGAATAAAGACATAAAGAAATAGCTCTTGTCCAAAATAAAAATGGGAGAACAGTAATGATTGTATTTTTTTCATATAGTGGGAGAGGGTTTTTTTAATTTCATTTCAGAAGGTATTTAGTTCTGAGATCTCTACGTACATGAAGAATATAGTTTTCCATCCCCTAATCCTAAGTATAATGGCCAGTTTCTTCAGTCTGACAATAAGATATCAAAATAACGTCCAGAATGAGACAACTGGATGCCTAGGGTAGAAAATTCTCATGGCAGACCTCAAGATTTGAAAGCTTATACATAGATATAAAGATTTGTATGTATGAATGTTATTTCTACACCAGGTCTTTTCTCAGAAATGGACACCATTCATTTAGTTTTTGCAAAGTAAACTAGATTTTTGTTTGCCAATCTGTTGCACTGCATTTTTTTCAGCATTGTTCTTCTGTCTTTTTTCAGGCTAGATTTAGCTTGTCCAGTATCGATTCTTGTTGGGGTTACAGCCCCTGCAGTTTCCAGATGAGTAGCCATGGTAATTTGTTGCAGAAAGAGTCTCTGTGACACTTCAAAGACCAACAAATTTATTATGTCATAAGATTTTGTGGACTAAGGTCTTCATCATACCTCTGATATTGGTACACTGTGGAGCATTAGTTCACAATCATTATGTGGATAAAAGCAAAACTGACATCAATGGGATTTACCCCACAAGTATTGTCTAGAAGAAAAGGATATTAGTTTGCCTTGCGAATCTTTGTCATTATCAAATAGTTTCGGTATGAAAGAATGGAATGATTGCTATTTGTGTGCACTGAATAATTTTAGTCTATCTCCACACTTTGCTCTTCAAGGTAATATCTGAAGGGGAAAAACAGGCGCTCACTGATAAAAACCGAAGTCTTCTGTATGAAATCCTTTGTGCCCTTGCTAACCCCAAACGCAAGGATACTCGGGGCTATAGCTTCCTTGCTGATGTTACTGAGAAATTTGCCTTTTCCCTCCCTGTTGGGGTAATGTGTGGATCAAAGGGTGAAAGGTAAGAGTCTTCTCACAAAAAGAAAGGGCCAGGAATATATCCTGCCACCAAAGTAAATGCTGAAGTCTTCTTGGAACTCTTTGTGTGCATCATAGCCCTGAGGAGTGCATATCTCACTGTGCAAAATGACTCCAGCAAACCCCTTAAAATATCTGGCATTCTATGAAATGGACACTAATTTCAATTGAAAAGATCGATACGAGGCCTACAAAAATGCATCTCAGGGATGTTGGGATGCTGTTTCTGTCACATGTCAAAACTTCTCCAATGCCTGAAGATACAATCATGGTTATAAATAAATTAACAATGTCATGCATTATTCATACCATCATTAATCACAGAATGCAATAAAGGTACTATGCCAACCAAGAGCACCTGATGCACATGTTTTGTTCACTGTCAGTAAGAGACTAAACAGCCATCTGAGAGCGATGCTTTAACTGGGAGTCCTGCAATGAACAGGGGATTAGACCCAATGACCCTCTGTCCTCTGTCTAATTCTACTTTTCTATGGCTTTGCTATATCTTGAGCTTGTTGTTCATCTTCTATTTTGACAGAGGCAAAACAATTCTGGACCATTGTCCTTATATTGTAATCATGGCCCATCATTGGTATCCCCAGCAAATCAATGGGCATAGATTTGATGGAAAAGATGGTGATTATATCAGAGTTCCCGAACGCTTGTTGGAAGTTTCTTCATCATCTCATTCTAAAGATGAGAACTGTAGGTTCATTCAAGTCACTGAATATAGCAGCCAGCAGTGGTTTCTAATGGGTGATAAAGGAACTGCCCTAAAAAACAAGGTAAGATGTTAAAACATACTCATTAGATCAATATCTTTTCTGTAGAAAGCTCAAAGTTGCCCACATGGTTCTTCCAGTAGGCTCCATTTCAGGCACTGATCAATTTCACACCTCCTTAGTTTTATTGCTGCTTTAGGTATTCCATTTTGTTTGTTTGTTTGAAGTATGATAGGCTGTTTCTCAGTCAAGCAAGGTTCCTGGAGTGGTTTATAATTAGTGAGATAAGTTCATCCTTATCTGTGGGGCCACAATCTTAAGGATGCAACACACACAAAAAAGGGGTGGGGCAGAAAAGGAGAACAGTTAAGGAGATGCTCATGAGGGCTGGCAGAATGGTCCTGCTTCACTTCTCATCTTCCAGTGGGAAGGCCAGTCCAAATATGGGCTATCCAAGTAGATGTTTCCTCAGCATGCTCCTGTCTTCCTTGCTCCTTCTTTCTTTCCCAATCACAGGGAGTGGGAAGTGAGTTCTAATGGAGCAGGTCCTGATGTTTCTTTGGCTTACTTCTGCCTTCCTCATTCTTCTTTCCCACAGCATAGTTGGTCTTTTAAGTTTAGCATGACATTCTGGATTTTAAAAGATGCTTACCATAATGGTCACCTGGACCTCCAGCCGTATCAGTATGCATTTCCAAGAACATGCACATTCTCATTGTGTCTTTCTAGTATTAATGAGCTTTCTCAAAGCAATTCAGCAGTGCGTAAGTGGCCACCTTATTAGTATGTTTGGTGGTCAAATAAGGATCCTGTGAATGTTTCTAAAGGAAAGAAATGTCTGCTTTGCCTATTTCAGATTTTTTCCATGAGTTTAAAGGGGCAGAGTCCCTTTCTACTCGAAGATAACAATGATGTCACCTACCGGATTTATTCTACAGACAGCCGAATTGTTCCTCATAAGTCTTTGTGTCTCCTTTGGAATCAGGCTGCAGAAAGGTATCGTTTCTTGTTAATTGCAGGTGTGTGTATGTCTGTGACCACATGTGTATTCATAGCCACTTTTATATGAAGGTTCCTAGTACTTACTTTCTTCTTGTCTCTAGTAAATTAATGTTCTGTTAGGTGTCTATATCTATAGCCTACCACAGTAGTATTCGCTGGAAAATTATCAAATTCTGATTCATGTACAGAGAAAAATGCAAAAACCTATGAAAATATAAATTATTAAGAAAAAAATAGCCATGCCTCTTTTGAGATTTTGTGGCATCTTGAAATTCTGAAATAACACCATCAACATTCAGTGGCCAGACACTGTTCTGAATTAGCATATTTCTAGACCAGAATCTTGTCATCACTCTGGGACTGAGGTCTGGGCAATATTACTGATGAAAACAGTGACCCATGTTGGTGCATCAGTTCCAAGGCAATCGAGATGTAATCAGAACTGTTGCAGTAATTAAGATGAAATGGCAGTTGTTAACAATTTTACAAACCTTTCTCTACTCCATGCTGATATTGGCTGTAACAGTAGCAGTAACAGTGAGATCCTGGGGCAATCCAAGATGTGCCAAGATTGCTGACATCAGCACACTGGATCAGTGTGGCACTGGCTTCCAGCCTTGGTATGACAGCAGTGATACACCAACACACCATTTCTGGCCACATGACCGTGATGGTGCACCATCACCCATGGCTTGAAAGTTTATGTCCAAAGTTTGGCACACCAAGATGGACTGATCTTTTCAGGCTTTTGCTCAGCCCCAGAAAAGAGGAAGAAGACATTTGCAGACATTCTGATCTGGTGGTACCCCCCAAATTTATGTGTCAAATCTGCCACTGGCATCTATTCCTTCTTTAAGTTTGTTATCACTTACGGAATGCGCTCCCCAGGGAGGTCCACCTGGCACCGTCGTTATTTGTTTTTTGGTGCCAGGTCAAGACCTTTTTATTTAAACAATATTTTAATAATAGTTGATTTTATTTAGTGGTTTTAATATTGAGCCAGGATGTATCCAGATTTTATATGTATGTATTTATAAGTATATTTATTTATGATGTTGGAAGTCATCCCGACGCTTATGCGAATGGAACGGCATACAAAAATTCCAAATAAATAAAATAAATAAATATTCAGTCAGATTCTGAACTTTCTCTTGCCTTAATATTCCTTCTTGCCAGCCATTTATTACTGTGTAGCAAGTGATTCCCGATGTGTAATGTGTGCATCAGCCCTCAGTTTGGTAGAGTCAAAAAAGAATGCTGTTTTATGATGCAGCAGTCATTATGCTCACAACTCACACTATTCCCATATCTGGCTCATGTTTTTATTATGATTATCGATCTCCAATTTAAAGATTAATGAATTAACATTCTTGACCTTTCTTTTCCCTGTAGCTGGTTGTCTGACAGTCAGTTCTGTAAAGTGATGGATGATTCTTCAAATTATGTGGAATGCTCTTGTTCTCACATGTCTATTTATGCAGCCTATGCACAGACAGATAACTTGTCTTCTTACAATGAAGCTTTTTTCTCATCTGGCTTCATCTGCATTTCTGGTCAGTTTGATATGTTATTATTTTTAGATTAATGAGTGATGTAAAGATTTTAAAACTGATAATTATGATGGATATTATTCTTATTGGAGTGGAATGAAATGAAGTATGTAAATAAAGAATATAGGCCATGATAGAAAGAGTTACTTTATATATGCCAAGTGGAATTATTAACTTTTGAGTACCAGACCTTCATACCCCATTACAAACTCTCTGTTTCAAAAGAAATTTGTCATGAAGCATGAAAGACTGAATCATAAAACCAGAAATCTTCCATGGGAGCTTGAAACTTGTTGTCTGATTATTTGGATCCTAGCCAAAATAAATTGTAATGAATAATACAATCTAAAAGACGGAAATATCTGATAGAGAAAAACAAACAAACAAAAAAGAATTTATACCTTTTAACCCTTGGCTTAAAGCATAGTAAGGAATCTTGATTTATATGTATTGTCCTGGTTAACCTAAAGTGACAACACTTTGATCACAGTCTTAAGTGGTTAGAAGAAAATCCCTCTTTGGTAAGTGCTTGTACAGTTCTGCCAAGAAACCCAAGCATTATCCTTTCCCTTATAGACATCTAGCGCCTCTTCATATATTATATCTTAATTCTGTATGACAGATTTTTAATTATACCCTTCCCAATGTAATGAAGCCATGAAGGATATGCAGAAGAAAATCCATTGGCTGAAACTCAAGTCATTCTTGATACAAAATCTCATTGGGTCCAGCAGCTTGGCAATATAACAACTGCATACTGCATACAAATGTTGGAATGATACAGCCATTGTTTGTGCATGAACTGAGTACTGAGAATTCCTAAATGGTATCTGTTAACATGGCACAAATACTTCAAAAGTGGGAGGGATTAATGGCCTGAGGTTGTAAAGAGAGGCACAGAGGAACAGTGGAATATGCCATATATTTTTCAGAATTGAGGGTCTTGTTTATTTAACAGTTTGATTCCCTCTTCTGAACTTGGCTTTTGCCCAATAATTTTCTGTGTATAATGCCTGCTTTTCTTTCATTAAAACAGGTTTCATCTTGGCTATTTTTTCACACCTGTTTTGTACCAGGTCCTCAATGTTTGCAGCTAAACTTCTGACTCATATGATGGTTGCCTGCTTGGGTACTCAGGTAGGAACAAATTGAATGTAACTCAGGAATGCCTAAAGACCAGATTCTCTCTGTACTCTCCAGTCCCAGGTATGCTGCATCTAGTTGGATCCACTTATGTTCAGTTCTACAATCTGTGTTTGGCTAATGGCCTCTTCTTATTAACTAGTTTGAGACTATGCTGTGGACTGAAAGCTAAGGGTAGTATCCTGTTGTGCTTGTGTGTTCACAAGAACCTGCTTGCACCATGAGACTTTTGCAGTTTTAAATATAACCCTAAATGAGTGGAAACTAGCTTCCAGAATGGGGCAGTCTGAGTAGGGTCCACAGAAGAAAGCTCCATTCATCTGTTCTGATTCAGAAACAAGTGCTTCTGCTAGTTTGCGTTGCTGTTTTTAGAAATGCAAACGCCATGTTGCATAAGTGGCACCTCCCATGAGTGCAAAAGAACCAGTGAAGGTGGAATGACCCTTTTGGATATTCCCTGTATTCTGAAGTACATTTCCAAATATTGGCAAAAACAGCAAATTCTAAATATTGTTCAAATGAGGTATTGTTTATTTTTGCAATGATACATATGATTCTTCTGTCACTCCGGCACATGTGATTCTTCTGTCACTCTGGCATGAGCCAGAAATAATGTTGCAACCCATTCTTTTATGTTTTGTATTTGTGCTGAGTTGAAAATAGAAAGGATATAACTAGTAATCTCTTTTTGTTTATGTGTAAAGATAATCATATGCAATATTATGGCACTAGAAATCCTTAGTGCTTTGAATAAGCGTGGCATATCTTAAAATAAAAATACTGTTGTCAGTGGTAGGCCTAATATTTAGTGGAAGTGAAAAAAATAAGTTCAAAGTGCTCGACATAACAAAGTATGCTTGCACATCCAGAGAAATAAACCAGATGTGTGAATGCACAGAACAGGAAGCTCAGTGGATGTAAAAAATGGAAATGGTTCACGGAATAAAGCCTAGATAATATGACACTTCCGTGAGGGAGCCCATGCAAACCTGAAAAGGCCTCTGAGTTACAGCAGCAGATAAAGGAATAGCTTATTATATTTTATTTCCTCTGGCCATAGAGTTGATCTAAGCAAGGTTGAGTAAGGGCTGATAATGAAGGTAGGCACGTTATGTGCTGGAGCTAGTAACTTGAACTCAGAATTTTGAGTCCAGAGTTCCTTATCTCTCACTTTCAGTGTTCCCTGCTACTGAAAACTTGACCGTTTTATATAATTTGAATAATACCACAGGCAGACAATTGGCAAGTTCACCTAAGCTGAATTTCTCTGAAATAGTCCCAACGGAAACTATGTCTCACCTGTTGTCTAAGTGGGATTAAACTATGTACGGCAAGTGTTTGATGTGCCTCCCTGGACAGTCAAGTCTTGCTGCCTTCTAGGCATCCTCTATGAAATGTGGCTTGAATTTGGCATGTAACTGAAAAAGATAGCAGAAACTGCTGTTGGCTGAATCCATTATATCCATTACTTTTTGCATGTGTGCTCTGTCACAAAGTTAAATGTTAACAATAGCACTGCAAGGCAGTTACTGTGAAAGTGAAAGCTGATCTGCTAGTGAAAAGGCTTGGTCTATGATGGGGTGCAAATTTATTTATCTTTTCCCTTTTGTGTTCAGTTCTAATAAGCAGAAACTTAAGAAAGGTTTCTGTCTCATTAAAACCAGTGAGTGGGTTCAACATGCACAATAACCCAAACTTGAAGGTTGCCACTGGGATATGTGGGTTGTTGAAATATCTATACTTGACTGATAAACAATGCACAGTTCATGACCCAAAAACAAACCAGGGGTTCTCTTTTTTTAGGTTCCTTGTTGTTAGTGAGCCATGGCTAGTTTACACAGGTTCACACAACACAATACCCACAATACTCAGCAACACAGTTTGGGATATTGTGTTTCTGAACCAGCCAGTAGCATTTAAGTGCTCAAGTTTAAGCCTTACTGATTTCATTGGAACATAGTCCCATTGAAACTGGGAACCACCTGGCCTCCAGGAGAGTACTTGAGGTGAGTTTGGACTCTTACATCCTTCATGCCAGGCATTAGATGCAGTAGGTCATCACAAATGACTTGGTTCATGGTATATACAATGCCTATTCTGTCCTGGTAGTTGGCTACTCCATTGGGTTATAGTTGTGACTAAATGCTCTGAATGCCTAAGTAAACTATTTTGTAATGTATTTTTAGGTCCTACAGCCAATATGTTATATAGATAGATGGGTGGGTGGACGGACGGACAGACAGACAGACAGACAGACATGCACTCACACAGATGCACACTTTGTTCCATACAATGTATCCTAGTGTAGCACTCAGGAAGATCCATTGGTTCAAAACACACTCAGTGTTTTAAATGATTTTTAGTGAATTCATTATTATATATGTAATGCCATTAGACTACCTGCTTTGTACTTATTGTTGATTATAAATGGGTTAGTACTAGGCATTTCCCCTCAAACATTTATCTGATGTTTGAATTTCAGGAATGTTTTCCGGTGTTTCAACATTACAGAATATATTTGGGGAAATAGAAAAAGTTAGATGGTGACCCTAATACATTAAAAATTAAACGGATTAACTACTAAAACCAGCAGATGGCAGTAAAACCATTTCCCCATGTTCAAGGTGTTTACTCAGAATTTGATGTCCATTTTAAAACCTGGGCAATAGTTTGGACTAGGGGTATATTAATAAATTTCTCAATCTACACCTCCTGAATGAGAATGCAAGAACAGACACAATTTGCACTTGGAAATCCGTATTTTCCAAGCTTGCAATGTATTTGATGAAACAAAAATCTGTAGAAGCTGACTTGACAGATAAGCCCGTTTGACTCTGTGTTTGACGCAATGAAATAGTTTATTCTTATTTACCTGCTTGCTGTAATACTGAAGATTGTAATATATACAATTAATTTTGGGTGCAGTAGTTCTTTGCTACATGATTGCCAATATTTAGATCTAATTACATCTGATTGAGTCGTATAGGAGATATTAATAGAATGTCATTTTCATCATTTCCAAATGTATTCCATTTCTAAGTAATTAATACAATCAAGTATTAGCCCATGGGGAAAAGAAAAATGATTTTATATTTTGATGTAGATAAACATATATTTTCAGCTATCTGTTACCCTTCACTAATTTCATTTTTTGAAACTGAGCCCTAAGGAGATAGAATTGCAGATGCTATTTGTTCATTTATTATATTGCATTTTAGAAAGTCGTGCTCACATGCTTTGAAATAATAGGCAAGCATGACTTTTAAGGGAAAAAATGAGTTGGATCTAGATTTATGCTGGATCAGCTGCACTGACAGAAGTGGATTTTCCCACCTCCTCCATCTCATTGGACCCCTCCATCGCTGTGAAAATGTTGCACAGAAAGTGAGGAGATCCTGCTGAACAAATCGGCTTGTGGTGTGGGAGGATCCTAAAAACCAAATGGAGGAACCTTTCATGAATGGAAACTTTTCTCTTGCAAAAGGCCCCTTCCCTTTGCAGAAGACAGATCTTGGATCCAGACCTCAGTATACGAAAGTAATGATATGAGTTCACAGGCACAGGCAACAGCAAGTTTAGGGGTGATCATAGGATTCAATCTCAAATTATACTAAACGAATTTACTTGCAATGGCTGGGATCAAAATGTAAGATTTCTTTTCTTTGTGGAAGCCCCCTTACCACTTGGCTCCCAAAGTCATGCCAATTGCCTTTCAGAATAGCACCCTGATGCATATAGAACAGCTACTGGAACAACATTGGCCATGCCTTCCATGACATGCAGCAAGCTTTGCACATGCACACAGATCTCTGGATCATCAGCAAAATGTCCTCCTTAGCCTCCCATAGGCTATTTTATTTCAGGATGTCTATATTCTGTCTGGTCACTGAGAAGAGAAAAGTCTGTCAAGGGATCATACACAGAATGTAAAGACAGACAAGGGAAAGCACCTGTTTGATATGGATATAGCTGAACACTCTGTTACAACAGGAGACTGTATGGTACACTTACATAATAGCTGAAGACATCTGGAGCCAACATTTTTTTCTTGTCTTGCTATCTTGTTGAGCAAGAGTATGAAGTGTAAGAAAAAGCAAAAATAAACAGCCCGAATTTAGTCTCTCTGAAGAAGGATTTTCTGCCATGTGCCCTTTCAGCAGTTTCTAAAAAGACACATTGTCCTTGCAAGAGAAGTGCTTACTTGGCTTTTCCCATAGTTTGTCTCCTGAGTTTTACAATGTGTAATCAAAATTGGCTATTTTAAAACTGCTATATGTTCCCTCCTATACCAGCAACCATTGTTGATATGTCTTGACTCTCCCCATGTCCTCTTGTGTTCAGTGGTCAGGAATGCTGGAAGTTTCAGGTCAAAACATCTGGAGAGACCAGATGTTAGAGGAACCTAGGGTAGAACTTCTGCTGTAATACATAATGGTATTTCATTTCCTATTTAACATTAGGTTGACAGAAGGAATGATAGTTCCCTTGCAGTTTACTGAAAGCTATTAAGATATGGCTAAGAGCTAGGAAGAACCATGGCTCTGGTTACATGTTGATGGAAGGTGCAGCTAACATGTAGTATAGTCATTAACATATCTATGTATGTAGATTGACATGTGTTACTGTAAGTAAGTCCTGTTTAATTCATACCCTGGTAAGCGGATTAAGGATTGCATCCATAATAAAAGTATGAGTAACCAGACTTCTAATCCTGCTTGGTTGAAAACTTCTGTTCTGCTCATGTAGATTACTCTCTTTGTAGCAAATAGCACAGTGTTAATGCTATTACTGTTGCACCTAAAATCGTGATCTGTGCTTCTGCAAAGTCTTTAGTGTATTTTTTTTGCAGTCCTTTTTTATTAAATTTTAAAACAGTACTAAAAACATCAATCATCACAAACATCAGAACTACTGAGTCAGCCCCTTACTATATATCTTTTAACATTCTGTAATCATGTTCAGATCCATTTATGGAATCTTAAAAACATTTTTAG